ACCTCTTAAGTTTTCACAAGTGAAGTATAACACTTCCAAGTTTTGACAAGTGAAATATAGTACTTCTACAGACCACGGGAGGATATCATTTTCAAGGGCGGACCCAGACCCCAGTCAAACCTAGGCCATTGACCGGGGCCTAGGGCAAAGATCCAATGGACCATAACAAATTTTCACTATGTTAAATTGATTGAGGTCCACCCCTATCATTTTTTATAAGCTTTAGATCTACTAATTACTTCTAAACTTATAGACATCCACTTTATTTAAAAAATGATCGAACAAATATATTATTGAAATTATTTTCACAACCTTACATATTACACAGATAAATTGGTGGTCATAGTTTATCTTGAAGACCTTGCCGACGTTCAAAGTAGCAAACTTTCATTGATTGTGCACATTCGTTTTCGATCGTTAAGTATATATTGATTGATTTACCAAAGATGGTATAATACTTAATAATTGCACATTCTTTTCTTTAAGTATATTATTTGTGTTCTTACTAAGTACTATGAGTTTTTCAATCGCGAACAAAAATAAGTATGAGTTTTTTTTTCAACAGTTTAGTAAGCATGACAATATAGACTTGTTACAATATTTTAGTAAAACAATATAAAAGATATTTATATGAAAGCATTTGCAAGGCATATATATATCTACTTATTAACATATTCTTTTTTAAAAAAATTCTTTGGTTTGTAATCAATATTATACATTTTTGTGCATGTTTTATGACCAACACTAAAATCCCCGTTGGTTTGGAATTGAATTGGTCCTGACTAATTAAATAAGAATATCTCTCTAATTTGAACCTTTTTGTTTGGTTGCCAAAGAAATGGGAAACGGAAATAGAATAACTTTCGGTTGAATCAAACTTTTAGCCGGACATATATAGTTCCAAGAACTCCAAAGCTTCCGACAAAATTTTCAGCCGGTCCAAGTCCAACGTTAGCACGCAAACGCAACGCGTCACCTCCATATATATTTGTATGTACTTGCACTTGCACACATTTTAACATGCATTGCAAGTTTTGCAACTTCCGTGATGTGACGCCTTGCAAGTCCTGCTCGATCGTGTAGATGGAGATCTTGAAATTGACCCTCTAACCAACAGACATAATACTGTACCTAGCTAGCAAGCCATCACTCTCTTTCTGCTAGTAATTTTTAGAAGGAAACAAAGTTAATTAATATTAAAAGAGCAGACATAATACTACTCCAGTGTTCACCATATGGATGCATGCATATGGGTGATGACAATTTAGTTCCCTTTCCATGGATATCTTTGCTTTTGTGCAATGGTTAATTGGAAACCAATCGAAGGTGATTATCATCATGTATGAGAATTGAGAAATAGGAGCTTGACCACAAAGTGTGTTTTTTTTGGCAAATGGCAACAATATGCCATGATCAATATATGTTCATGCACACATTCTTGGGCCATGTTACTCCATGTTCCTCCTACTAATGTAGGAGTATGTTATTCCCTTCCCAACCACTTAAATGATTTTTCTTGTACTCGTTAGTAGGCTTATTTAGAGCAGTATGTTAATTCTAATATATTCTCACAAAAACTGTGGCATGCTTATTAATTCCAACTCTCTCTTTTTTAAAAGACGTATACGCTCATATAAACTTGTACGCGCACATCCTACCATTATATACATCTTAGAAGATTGAATCAACACATATATTTAAATTGATAAAGTCCCCCTCGTTGTTGACATGTATATCGCTTACCACCGAAAAAATAATTAGCTGTAAATGTGAACACATGTGCTAGTTTAGTACTTAAACCCAGATTCTACCTCAAGGAACTTAACTAGCTAGTTGGTTAGCTACGCTCACTTCGCCACATTGATGTTATGTGTGTATAAAGTATCTGATGTTTTTTTATCCCAAACAATATGATATTGAAAAAAAAACAACTGTTATTTTTTATACTAAACAATATGATATTTAAAGCACACACATTACAAATTTATACCGTGTTCCCTTATTTCGTCGTAAGAATCACCTGCGTTAACTACGTATACATATAACTGTAATTGTTTTATTTTCTGCAATTCCCAAATCGGCCTCCAAGGGAAGCCATTTTTTTTAAGCACATATAGTTGATGATGGAAGCATAATTTGGCATATGTTATATGTATTAGTATATTGTTACATCACGCCCTGCTACAGAATAAAGTGATCAGGGTATCACTGTGCGGTTGGCTTATGTGAGATTAGGTGAACGTAAAGGCATGCCATGATGCTGTAATCTGTTGGTCAAGTACTAGATTTTCATTTCTTTCAGCATCCGCGGACAATTTTTTTGTGGATTTCATGGATGGCTTATGTTTGCTCTTTATTCCATTTTCGAATATATTCAGGATGGAAAATATTTGAGGATCCTGGACAAGTACCGGAATCATTTTATAGAAAATTGCGGAAGCCATAAACTATAAGTAAAATTTCTGATTAAAATTTAGCAAGGTTATGGTGATGTTTCTACACGCTACGTCGCTACCAGTTGTGTAAAATTTCAAGATCAATCTCAATTTAGCTTCAAGATATTAGATATGAGATTCACAAGTGGCAGAATAAACAGAGGAAAAATTTCAAACTTCTCAATCTGTTCTATTATAGCACCATGAATTTCATATCTTACGACAAACAAAATCAAACTGGCTATATTTTAAAATATCACTTCCCCCATTTTTTAATATATGATGTTGTTTGCCTTTCGACATACGTAGTACTATGTATTAACAATTTGTCTTACTTTTAAAAAATATAAATATTATCTATTTTATTTTATTGTGAATTGTTTTACAATTAAAGACAGCATGACTTACATATTTACTATTTGTGCAAAGTTTTTAGATAAAATGAATTTTAAGTACGTCTAAAAGATAACAATGACATATTTAAAAGCAGATGTAATACAAGTTTGTATGAAATGCTTCCCTACCTCCTATGTGTACGTTACTTTTTCATGGGATTATTTTAAAACAACTAAACATAGTTTGCCGAGGTTTCCATTATTTTACTGACTCGCGTTTATATTCCCTTTCCTTAACAAACTAGTGGATTATATTGTATACATGCATGACAATGGATCGAAGCGTGTCTAGTTTTTTTTTCATAGTATGCCACTGTATAAGTCGAATCATGAATCAACCACACATATTTGGGTTTGATTAAATGATATTTGAATGATGGATACATACAACCTGAAATGGACAAGAACCCTCTAGCCCCCCGCACATGAACTGCTGATACTAACCTGTCGTTTTTTTTTTCTAATGTATACACGTATTACGTATATTGGGGGTCATTTTCTTGTAAACTCGATCAATGCAATTAAACTCTGTTGTTGATGTTCCAGAACACGTAAACGATCTGATGTGTTCACATAAATGATCACGACCTCATAACCCATGCTCATTTTTCCTTTTGTGAGGGGACATGTTCCTTTTTCCACATCAAAATTAAATTTGATTTTGAAACATTTGGTAGATCTTGGATGCATTACCTTTTTTTGTCCCAAAATTATAGACCAATTGGATGTAAGAATTTGAGTAATTCCATAGCAACAGACATGGTTTATCTAATAAATTCGGGAAAAATTAAACACAAACAATGGAAAAGGTGAATAGGTCTTTTCGTTTAAGATTACCGAACAGCAAGACACAACACTAGTAGATTGCAAGGACATTAGGTCCTTAATTAATGAAAAAGTTAGGATCTGAAAAGTAAAATCTCTATAGCATGTCGAGGTTTTTCATGACCTACACCGAAAAGCCATTGATTAAGGCATGGCAGAAATCTAAAATGTAGTAACATGAAAACACGTGATTAATTTGAGTTTGAACCTTTAGAAATTTTAGAGACTAATAATTGGTTAACTGCTGCTTTGTGAAAAAAAAAGTCTTGAAGAACCTTTCTTGAAGAGTAATCTTGGACAGGATTTCATCCTTGATTCCTTCTGCTTGAGGCTTGAGCTATATATAATGTTTGGTGATTTAGCATGAATCTTAGTGAATAAATTATCCCCCCTCATAAAAAAAAACTTGTGTGCATGTATCCATAAATTCTTTCAGTCCTATAAATGTATCCATAAATTCTTTCACTCCTATAAAGAAATAGTCTATCCTGTAGGAGTACATGTACAACATAGAGTCGAATCAAATGTTCAGAAGAGCTAACAGTTGTACACCGTATCACCATTCAACCAAGCAAGAGTGATATCATTATACTTCTATTCATATATACTTAGGTCCGTTCTTTTCTGATTAACATGCATATTTTATCTCGATGTATAATTTGAATGAAAACTTTTTATATAAAAGTTGTTTTAAAAATATCAAATAAATTTATTTTTTTATTTTAAAATAATCAAAACTCAACTAATTATGCATTAATGATTTTTTTGTTTTATATACTCGTCCTTAATCTTCATCTAACATGAACTTGAATGGCGTTAATAAGTACTAGTACTTAATTGGAGTATACAACTCAATTCATGTAGAAAAAAATGAAGTAGTAATTTTTTTAAGATGGAGGTAGTATTTCAAGGTGGATATATGCTTTCTCGTGGCAACCTACTGTACATGTTTGAGTAAAAGAGACACGGACATATAATAATGTCTGCCAATAAAATGAAAAAAAAAGAAAAATGTTACTTAAATACCACAGATGCAGAAATTCCTATGTGAATAACCAGGAATATTGTTTGACAAGAGAAGAGGCAGATGTTTTTTATCCATATAAGTAGTATAGGAGTATACAAAGACCCATTTTTTTTATTAATCCTTTAATCAAATACTAAAAAACTAAAAAATATTTTTTTTCCCAGCAATGGCAGGAGCAAAGATCACACAGGAGAGGAGAGGCAGAAACTGTCAAAAGAAGACAGATTCCACCACTGCCAAGTGCCAGCGCAGTCCTCCTCCTCCTCCTCTACACTGCTTTCCTTCCTTCAAAAAGTAGAAAGGAAGAGGAAAAAAAAAAGCCTTCAAAAGAAAGGGAAAAAAACACACAAAAAGAGAAGAGGAGGAAGAAGAGAAGAGAGAGAGAGAGAGAGAGAGAGAGAGAGAGAGCAACGGAAAAGCTACCCAAGGGAGAAGCGAGCGAGAGAGCGAAGCAGCCTCCTCCTCCTCCTCTCTCTCTCCTTCCTCCGATTCACACACACTCCTCGCCGTCTTGTTTCTTCTTCGTCTGGGTGGTTGATCCATCCATCCAGAGATTGCCTGTGCGAGGAAGGGAGCGGGCGAGTGGCGGATTTGTTTTTGGTTTGTTTTTGAGTTTGTTTTTATTGGTGGTATCCTCTCCTCCTCCTGTGCGAGGAGCAGCTGGTGGATTGTTCGTTCCAGCTCCGTTTCTTGTCTTGATTTGGAATCCGGGAAATTTTTCCGCCTCCCGTTTCTTGATTTCCGGTCCCCCCCCTTCCTTGGTGGAAGTGGGAAGGGGAGGGGGAAGGATTTTTTGGTGGGGAATTCGAGGGGGCGAGGTGATGAACTCTTGCCTCTTTGACCAGCCTTGATTTTCCTGGTGATTTTGCTTGGAATTTCTCGGATTTTGTGGGGGGTTCTTTGATCCGGGCTCCATGGGTCTCTGCCATGGCAAGTCGGCGGCGGTGCTGGAGCCAACGGTGGAGGAGGAGGAGGAGGGGGCGACGCGCGTAGCCGAGGCCGCGGCGGCGCCGGCGAAGCCAGCGTCGCCTGCGCCTTCGGCGGCGGCGGCGGCGGCGGCGCCGGCGAAGCCCGGGACGCCGAAGCAGCACAAGTTCCCGTTCTACCTGCCGAGCCCGCTCCCGGCGTCGAGCTACAAGGGCTCGCCGGCGAACTCGAGCGTGGCGTCGACGCCCGCGCGCGGCGGGTTCAAGCGGCCGTTCCCGCCGCCGTCGCCGGCGAAGCACATCCGCGCGCTCCTGGCGCGGCGCCACGGCTCGGTGAAGCCGAACGAGGCGTCCATCCCGGAGTCCGGCGAGCCCGGCGTGGCGCTGGACAAGGGCTTCGGCTTCTCCAGGCACTTCGCCGCCAAGTACGAGCTCGGCCGCGAGGTTGGCCGCGGCCACTTCGGCTACACCTGCGCCGCCACCTGCAAGAAGGGCGAGCTCAAGGGCGACGACGTCGCCGTCAAGGTCATCCCCAAGGCCAAGGTCAATCCAATCCCCTTCTTCTTCTTCTTCTTCTTCTTCTATCCAGTTCACGACTTGTTCTCCTTCGCTGAGGTTTTGACTCAATTTTCATGTTTATTTTCCTCGCTTGGGTTTAATTAATTAATACACTTAAAATCTTCTCCTGCATTGCTTAGCGTTTACACCTGATTGAATTTATATTATATTTGTGCTTGAATGTATTGTTTAATGCTAGACTTACTTTGGGCTGATGTTTTCAATTTTATGTTCAAAGCATCATTGTGTGTGGATTCAACAGAGTTACCTCTTGACCTCATTTGGTTCAGTTGCCATGCTTGTGTTTTTTTAGCTCAATTGCTAAATATATCATATTAGGTGGGAGAAAGAGAGACATTACGAAGTAGGTTTACTAAATGCTTCCATGAGGATTTGTTCTGGCCATTAATACTTTGATGAACAAGTTAGTTGCTTCACTCAACGCTTACAAAGGACAGATAGATGAGAAAAATCACGTCTCCATTTCGGGTGTTTCTTGTTGGGTAATTTGCGGAGGGGCAATGTTGCTCCATTGAAGCTTGCTTGGTGCTTTACAGCATTGGTTTCAAAATGATGGAATCTGTTTCTCCATAATGTGCAAGTTCTCCGTATGTGAAAAGCTTGTGTAGCATATTTGCTTCAAGTGAGCCAAATGGCGTCATTGTCTCCTTGAGCTCTGGTAGTATTAACATTTTTATCATCTTATATTTCATTGGCTGTTTAGTCGTAGAGAACTATTAAATCCCTGAGTCAAAGTCAAAGAATTGTTGTGGTGTTGCGCAATTCCAGCCTGTATTGTTATTAGCTGCGAAACAGCGTTCTATTAGTTCTATTGAAGTACTTTGCCCTTTCTACCATAACTTTCAAGTTTCAACACTGTTGTAGTTGTAGACCTTCCTATGTCTTTTGGTGGGAGGTGTCTAACTACTATCATATACTTATAGTTGTTGCCTTTCTATACATCGATCATCATCTTGTTGTTTATACAACATGTTCAGAGTCTTGACTTACAATTAATATAATGCTTTTAGTTAGGGTCTCCCTACCTTTTGCATGTTAAAAAAATATTGTTGACTGTATTTCATGTATTTATGCTGTTATCTATCACTTTTTGGATATCAGTGATACTGGTTTTCCTTATCGATCTAGTCTAGATATCCTCCTGTAGTGCTGTCTCTTGTTGCTCTTCTCCTTTTGATGTTTACTCTCCTTGATAATGTTAAATGATACATAAAACAAGCAATTATAGATTATATTGATTAGAAATGCATGTCTTTTATTACGCCTGTTATATTGTTGTGCATATCATTGTCTGTTGTTATGTAACTGTGCATTGCCAACACTAATCCCACGACATTTTTTTTGGGTATCTGTAATTGATGTGTTACTCTATGCTTTGTGCTGTGCGGTGCAATGTTAATATATAGAATTGTTGGCTGCGCTCAGAGTATGCTTGTATTTCTGCTTGTGGATAAGCATCCTTGGTGCAATGCTACTTCCAGGCCCTAGAGCCAAGGCCCATGCGTGCAACAGTTGGTTGATGAACTACCCAACATTTGCTGTGCTATCTAGTCTCTTATTGCTTGGCTGAAACCACATTGACGTGGTGTTGTTACATGAAATGCGGAGTTGGACCTGATCACCTGACTGATTGGCAAATTCTTATCCAATGATGCAGTAATCACCTGACTAATTGGCTAACACATGTATTTATATGAGTAGTATGATATAGATTTTCCATTGTTGTGTGTAATAAACAATTATTTTTAATCTTATTATTGTGTAATTTGATTAATAATACTGTGAAATTGCTGCCTTTGACATCTAGTTACATATATATGAGTCCACTGGAACTCCAATTCTTTCTTTTTTCCAAGAGAAAGTCCAATTTAAGTAATACTGCTAACCAGTCTCACACAAGCAACTTCTTTCGACAGATGACTACTGCTATTGCCATTGAAGATGTCAGGAGAGAAGTCAGAATATTGAGTTCTTTGGCAGGGCACAGCAACTTAGTGCAGTTTTATGATGCTTATGAGGATGAAGAAAATGTATATATAGTTATGGAGTAAGTTCATAGTTTTTCCATTCTTCAGTTTAACCTACTGATCTGCTGAAAGTTATAAGTAATGACTAAAGTTTTGATATTCTTATGCTAAATAAACAGAACACACAACATACTAATTCTTCTGTAGGTTAACACGAATAACAATTGTTGGTTGTTTTTTTATGACAAACTTGGTCTCAAGCGAACATGACATGCTAGCATGTGTTTTCATTTCGCCATTTGGTATCAGTCATTTTGGGAAGGAAATAAAAAATGACATATTGATGCAATAAATTTTCTCTATCATGTTTAGGTTAGATATCAGTCGCGCGCAGACATGATCACATGACATTTCATTTTTTAGATACATGTGTTTAGGAGCTGGCTTGATTGGCTGGCGCTGACCATACTCATATGAGACTTGGATGCTTTTGTAGCCAGTGCCAGTCATAATCTGTAAATAATTCTCAAACTTGGCTCAATCACAATTTACTTTTTATGGAAATTGTGTTTTGTACAATCAATTCTGATTGTTAGCTCCATCAGTGAAGCATTTTACTCATTAATTGCTATTAAAGTTTCTTTCTAATATGGTACATGTTTAAGAGATTAAGAGGTTATAATCCCTTTCACTGTAGACGGTTTTAAGGGCCTGGCCTCATAAGTCATAAACTATTTCTTAGTATATACAAATAAAGTGTGCACTATTTTAAACAAGAATATTAGGGGAGGACCCTTCTGATTACAAAGTAAACAGGAATACAAAAAGGGAAAACATGTACACAAGTTAAGGTCCAAAAAAGATAGCAACAGTTTATAAAGCTCCCACCAAACAAATATAGGCAGAAACACTATATCCATAAAGAAAGCTTTCAAAATTTTCCTAGCTACTCTATATCCATAAAGAAAGCTTTCAACTGAATTCAAATGTGTATCATTTTTTTGTGTAGTAAAATGTCCCAGAATTCAACTGTGATAATCTCCTTGAAATAGGGTGTTGTGATACCTGAAATACTTCCGTCAATTGATTATTTTCAACTCACTGGAATTTTTTCCCTTGATTTAGGTTATGCAAAGGAGGTGAACTGCTGGACAGGATTTTGGCTAGGTACTTACAGTTATATCATTTTCTGATACCAGCATTGTTTAGAACAATTGCTTCATTAATTGTACTAGGATTCTGAAATCTGAATATAACTGCATACATTTTTCTTTGCAGAGGTGGAAAATATTCTGAGGAAGATGCAAAGGTTGTTATGCGCCAAATCCTAAGTGTTGCTTCATTTTGTCATCTTCAGGGTGTTGTTCATCGGGATCTGAAACCAGAGGTAAGTTTGATTCAAGCAATTCAGATATTGTTTAGATATTTCTCTTTTGTACCATTTAATTTTCATTCAGTTGGGTGCCTATGAAAAATCAAGGCTGTGGGAAAGTTATCTACATCGTACAACATGCTTAGTGATGTAAGAGCTTATAACGGATAGTTTCTTATGCATACATTCTTGATCCTTTCACTCTCCTTAGGCTTCGTTCGTTCCTGCCATTGGAGGGAGTTTTTTCAGCGCACGCGAAATGAGAAAGATTAATACATGATTAATTAAATATTAATTATTGTAAACTTGAAAAATGGATTTATTTGACTTTTTAAAATAACTTTTATATAGAACTTTTTTGCAAAAAACACACCGTTTAATAGTTTGGAAAGTGTGCTAACGGAAAACGAGGAAGTTGAAATTTGTATTGAGAGTATAGAACGGGGCCTTGTTGTGCAAATACTGCTATTATTGTTTTCAAGAGCAATTTTGTGCTGATGCTAATGTTTGCTTGCGTTTCTACTTGTGTCTTGTAGAATTTCCTTTTCTCGTCAAAGGATGAGAACTCTGCCATGAAGGTCATAGACTTCGGTTTGTCTGACTTTGTAAAGCCAGGTTAGTCTAACAGATTTTCTTAAACCTTGTTTAGTAAAATGTTTTATGTTTAGCTATTTAACTATAGGCACATCTGACCATCATTATATTCTGCAGATGAGAGGCTTAATGACATTGTCGGAAGTGCATATTATGTTGCTCCTGAAGTGCTCCATCGATCTTATGGCACTGAGGCAGATATGTGGAGCATTGGAGTAATAGTGTATATTTTGCTTTGTGGCAGCCGTCCTTTCTGGGCACGTACTGAGTCAGGAATATTCCGAGCTGTGCTGAAAGCAGACCCTAGTTTTGAGGAAGCCCCATGGCCAACCCTCTCTGCTGAAGCAAAAGACTTTGTAAGGAGGCTGCTCAATAAAGATTACCGCAAGAGGATGACTGCTGCACAAGCCCTCTGTGAGTACCATAATTATCTTCAGTTTACACTGTACTACCAGTCAACTTTGCAGATGATGAATGCTTTTTTGTTCTACACATTTAAGGTCATCCATGGATTCGTGGTACTGAAGAAGTGAAGCTTCCTTTGGACATGATAATTTATAGGCTTATGAGGGCTTACATAAGTTCATCTTCTTTACGGAGAGCTGCATTGAGGGTAATATTTCTTTTAGGGTGTATTGGTTTGCCCTTTACTAATGATATTTATCTTTATTGCCCCAAATTAATGTGGAACAATGTCATTTATATAAATTATGCTGCATCGCTTTTTAGAGGGTAATTTAGTGGTAAAATCAACTTTGCATAGCAAATGACGTTGTTTTAATGTTCTTATCATTCTTTCTTCAGAATAGTATGTATCGCTAACCATGTGTAGAGCATTATTGCACTTTGCCCATTATTTTGTCATATATCGTGCAAATCTGATTGAATGAGTAATATAATAAGGTGATCTTAGAAAAATCCTAAGGATGCTATATTTTCTCCCATATTATGATCTCACATTTCCTGTGTGCATTTACCATGGAATATCTTGTTGCTGATAATAGTGCTGTGCTCACTTTAAAAACTACTACTAAGTAGCTGTTTGTGTTCTGCAGGCCCTTGCCAAGACATTGACAACAGATCAAATCTATTACCTAAGAGAACAGTTTGAATTGATAGGCCCAAACAAGAGCGATCTTATTACTTTGCAAAATTTGAAGACGGTGAGTTATTTTACCATTTAGACTAAATAACTAGTCTGCTATGAGATTGCTAAAGTACGCTAAACCTCCAGGCCTTGATGAAGAACTCCACAAATGCAATGAAGGATTCTAGGGTGGTTGACTTTGTTAACACAGTAAGCCTAAAGTCCTTTTCTCTCTACTTTTCAAAGTAGCACCTGCAGTTGTGTAATCACTTACCCTATCAATGATGCCAGATATCCAATATTCAGTACAGAAAGTTGGATTTTGAGGAGTTTTCTGCTGCTGCCATCAGTGTTTACCAGATGGAAGGTTTGGAAACCTGGGAACAACATGCCCGGCAAGCGTACGAGTTCTTTGATAAGGAGGGTAACCGACCAATTGTGATCGACGAGCTCGCATCGGTATATGATCCCTAACACTAAATTAGCTTGGGGTTGGGCACGATGAAATGTTTCTCACAGGTGATGACATACTATTTTCAGGAACTTGGATTGGGTCCTTCGGTTCCCCTACATGTTGTTCTCCAAGATTGGATCAGACATCCTGATGGAAAACTCAGCTTCCTTGGGTTCATGAAACTATTGCATGGAGTTTCTTCGCGTACCATCCCAAAAACCTGAGATAATAACTTATTTTCTTACATCAACCAAGGCAAAAGTGTGATGACTAAACTAATCTCTGGCTGTCTGGAGAAGCGGCATGGAACCAGTACAAAGATTAACAAAGCTGTCCTAGTGTAACAAGTGAAAAAGCTCTCCTGTCAGGCCCGCGAATTTCGCCTTCTCTTACCAGATGATTGATGTTGTGTTTGTATTCAGGTTTGTTTAGAGGTGAATGTACAGATGAGTTTAGGAAACAGGAAAAATGAGGTGCTAAGAAAGTGAAACATGGTTTAATTTCGATTGGTGTAACTGTGTGCGTTTGATCTTCGCCGATCTGTGAATGTCGTGATTGGACTGAAATTGAGAAGTGAGGTGGTATCAGTACCATATTCGTAGATATTTCTTGAGTTTTTTTTTCTTATTGAAATTTACTCGTGTTTATTTGCAACAGTTTGGCTCATTGGCTGTACATCGATGTGATGAAAACGGCTGAAAACGATATCAATTTTTTTTTACATAAACAATATCAGTATGGTTAGGAATTTTTTATATTTATGAAATTAACTATTTAGTGGCATCAACTTCAATTCAAGACGATCAGAAACAATCGGTAATGACAAACGTACCGGTACGGTTTTCATCCCAGTGAATGGCGCACAGAAATGGGGCGCAAATGGCTTTTTATTACATACTGACCTGGCCCTCTAATTCCTTCCAAGTTTCCAGTATAATGTTGTTGGTAGTATTATGCAGCAGCTTAATTGCCAGTAGAATCTGAAAACTTCCAAACCTTCCCTGATCATACATATTTCAGACAACAAGAGTAATACATATATATTCTACTTTCCACACAAAACGGAGGAGCAGCACAATTTTATAAGCTGGAAAAACAACTTAATTGCCGGTAGAATCTTCCTCTACTCGTAATGATCTTGTCTGAATAAATACGTACATAGTTCACACAACACGCCAACAAGGGCAAAACATAAATTCTGACATTCACACAAAATGGAGGAGCAGCACAATGTACAAGCTGGACAAACTACTTAGAAAAAAAAATACATAATGATGTTGCTTAGATATAAATATTCCAGACGACAACAAAACACCCAACACATCACCACTTGATAAAAAACCAAGTGGTTAATTTAAGATGCATCTAAGCTTACTCCCTCCATCAAATAAAAAACCAACTTTTTGAAAATGAATCCGGACGAATACATATTCAGATACCTGAAGAAGGTGATTCTTTTCGAGACGGAGGGTGTGGTTAATTTAAGTTTTATTATATGGGAACAAGACTCTCCGTGTAGGGGATCAGTTTGTAGTAATGTAGATTCTCCCAAGAACTCCCTACTACCACGGTGTGCCTGCCCTGTTCATCATCATGGTACGTCATGCCATTCAAGCAAACCACCTGCTTTTCCTCCTCCTTCCCCTCTCCGATTCTGCTCTCGTCTTCTCCGTCGTCATCGTCGCCGAGGAAGAACAAGAGATCACCTCTCTTGCCGATCACCCCGCCGCCTCCGCCGCCGCCATGATGAAACAGCGCGATCGGGATGAACATGCTCGTCGACGTGAACACGCACCTCTTGCTCCACCGCGGGCTCACGCCGTCCTCCGTCATCCAGATCACCACCGACGACGAGGTCGACGTCCCCTCGTCGCCGGCGCCGGCGGCGTGGGCCAGGCACAGTACACCGTTGAGCTCGCTCAGGTGGAAGGCCTCGTGGAGGAACGGCGGCCGGCATGGCGGCGGCGGCGCGACGACGCTGAACGTCTCGTCTCGCAGGCAGAGGCGCAGCAGCCGGCTCTCCTGCGGCGGCCGCGCCGCCGTGTCGTGGCAGGTGGTGAAGAAGAGGGCGCCCCTGAAGAAGGTGGCGGTGTGCCAGACGAGGACGGGGTAGGGCGTGTCGGCGACGATCTCCCTCCAGCAAGAACCGACGGAGACGCCGCCATTGCCGCCGATGGTGCAGAGCTCCATCCCGGTGGTGGTGGATTCCGGCACCACGCCGTCGCCGGAGCGGACGAAGCAGCGGGCGACCTTGTACGTGCCCGTGTGAGGGTCATGGCCGAACCCGGTCGCCTGGGGAAGTGCGCGGCGGCGGCGGCGGCGGCGGCTTTCGGGGAGAGCAATGGCGCTCCTGGTGGCCGGATTGACGACGTAGGAGGTGGTGTCGGTGGGCACCAGCATGAGGCCATTGCAATGGCTGAGCTGGAACACCGACCTGAACTCGCCATGGAAGCTTCTCCTGAAGATTAGGCTGGCACTGGCACCGGCACCGACCTGCTCCTCCTCCGTCTGTCCGTTGCGCCGCCGCCGCCATTGGTAGAGGCGGATGGTGTCGGAGAAGTTGGTCAGCCATATGATGTCGCGCTCGGCGTCGTCGAGCAGCTGTGGCGCGATGAGGAGGGTCGGCTCCCAGCGGTGCCTGGCGGCGGAGCGGCGGAGGTGCGCGGCGACGAAGGAGGGCGCGCAGATGGCGGCGCGCCATGGCCTGGAGACCGCCCTGAGCCGCAGGAGGGACTTCACCGGCAGGCGGGCGAGCAACTCGAGCACCATCTCATCTGGCATCTCGCCGGAGAGCTGGCTGCAGCGGCTTGTTGCCGGCTGCTCGCCGTCGTGGCGGTGGCGAGCCCTCTTGACGACGTTCTTCCTCTCCGCGATACGGCTGCTGCGCCGTGGCGGAAGCCCTCCATTGTCGGGCCCGACGACGCTGGTGGTGGTGGTGGTGCTCTTGCGCTGCCTCTTGTTGCTGTTGTTGTTGGCCTTCTTCAAGTCCATGGATGGTGAAGAAGAAGATGAAGCAAGCGTACGTATTAAATTTATAACATGCGCTCTAATCGGATTAATTTAGAGAAGGTATGGATGGCACTAGGAATAATCCGAAAACGATTAGGACTAGCAGTTACTACTACCTCCTCCGTTTCAGAGGTTATAACACGTTTTAACTTTTGTAAAGTCAAAACTACTTTAAATTAGACCAAATTTATAGAAAAAAATAGTAACATTTTCAATAAAAGACAAATTTATTATAAAAATATATTTAATTATTGATTTGATAAAAATAATTTAGTATTATAAATATTACTATATTTATTTATAAACTTAGTCAAACTTAGAGTAGTTTGACTTTGAACAAATAAAAACATCTTATAACCTGAAACCTAAAACGGATGGAGTAGCAGGTAGAGTGATGGATGAGAAAACTAGTAGTCGAAAACTTGGAATCAAATACGGAGGGAGGAGCACTCGGATTCATTCTAGAGAGAAGAAAGTGAGAGAGTTACATCGATGGGAGGAGCAGTCGAGCTCGAGCAGCACTGAATCCGGTCCGATCGAGCGTGCCAAGATCCAACGCCGCCCCCTCCGGTGAACCTGCGCAGGACTCGCTGCCGGCGCCGGCGAATCCATCGTCGCCTCGTCGCCGCCCGCATCTTAATTGCAAGTAGAATCTTCCTCTACTTGTAATGATCTTGCCTGAATAAATAGAACATATTTCACACAACACACCAACAAGGACAATAGCCACAATACTTGAATTCTGACTTTCACACAAAAGGGAGGAGCAGCACAATGCACAAGCTGGAAAAATCTACGAGCTTGTTCAGATTGATGCCATTTTAAACCATGCTTTTTTTTAGCAAAGTTATTAAATATTTGCATCCATTTAGTTTTTTACAAAACTCTGGTAAATAAATAAGAAATCATGCTAAAACTTGGCAATATTGTTAAATTACCAAAATTTTGACAATATTTTGGCATTGCCAAAATTTGGTAAGGTTTATTTTGGCTACAATCTAAACATACCTTATATCTATATACCTAATAAAAAATCAGAAAGACTTCCTGTTGGTTATTTTCGTCCGTTCGTTTTTTTTCATCCATTCAGTTTTTTTCGTCTTTCCTTTTTTTTTTCATCGCCGTTTTTTTCGTCCGTATATTTTTTTTTCATCCATCCGGTTTTTCTTCATCGCCATTTTTTCCGTTAGTCCGGTTTTTCCTTATATTATTTGATCCCACGCACCTTCAGTCGCTGTCTAAACCCATCTTTTTTTTCATCGCCCGTTTTTTTATCTTATCTGATCCAACGTGCCTCATGCATGCGATTCTAGTAACGACACGATGGTAACCATCGCGTCTTCTGTTGCCGCCTCTCTCCCTGTATATTGTAACCGTTGTTATCAATAAAGGATGGCTCATTCATTCTCTACATTCTTGTGTGCAATTCTCTCTCTCACTCAATCTCTCTCGCTCAATCAATTCTATTCACAATACGTTATCAGCACTTTCGCTCTCGCGAAGGAGATCGCGAAGTGAAAGAAGGAAGGAACATCGCTTTTGATCTAACAGAAAAGCGAACATAAGAATCATCAGAGAAGGTACGATGCCTACCTTTCATTGGATCATGGATGCCGTTCGCCATCAGCGCCATCAGCGCGCACGCCGGCTTCGCCATCTTCTTCGCCGACCGATGAGGAGTACGCGCCGGGGATCCCGCGGAGGCAGGGCTAGGGTTGGTGGCCGCCGCAACTACCCTCGCCGCCGTGTGACTGCAACTCCGGTTGTGGTTCCCCCGCCCGTCCCTGTCGCGCCTTCTCCTCCGCCTCCGGTTGCCGAAGAACCTCGCCGGATCCTTGTGCAGGGGGTGCAGTACTGCGCCTACCACGGTTGGACTGCAGTGGTGACACTGCCCGGTGAACCATGCGATCTTCCCCCGGAAATGGAGTCGCTGCCGCCACCATCAACCGCTCCTCCACCACCTCCACCGACACCAAGCCGACGCCGACGCCGTTCCCCCACGCCCGCGCCACCGGAGTGCGGCCGGACCGGTACCCTGGCTGCGCGCACGGGGGAGCTGCCCTTCTTCAATCCGTCTTCGTCTTGTCGTCACGCCGGTGAAGCCGCTGCTCGCCGTCCCGGCCTCCGCCACACCTTCATCACCATTCCCCATGGCTCTCCTAGCCGTACACTCCCTAACGGGGTGCCGGGGAATGGCGTCCGGGCTCGACCGGTTTTCGACTCCGACGAGGATCGGGAACCGTCGGCCTAATCCGGCCGGCCAACCGCCAGCGGACGGAGGGGCGACCGAGGCGGCAGTTGATGGTGGATGGTGCTGGCGGTGGACGGCAGATAGTGGATGCAGGCGGTAACTGTGGCTGAAGGAAGGTGGCGGCGTGTGGCGGCGGTGGAAATGGAGGCAGCGGCGGCGACACATCTCGTTGCGGCGATGGCGCCCCCAACGGCGACATCAGCGGCGTACCTCGGTGGTGTCGGCCGCGCCCCCAACGGCGGCGACGACGGCGCCCCCAAGAGGTGGCGACGGCGGCGTGCCCCACGGCGGCGGAAATCCCGCGGGGGCGGTTAGGGTTCTAACCCTAATGTTAACAGTGAAATTTGGTAAGCCCGGAGTAGTCATCGGCTTAGAGTCAGCATCGGCTTCGAAGTTCTGAGATTAGCCGATGAGAGTAGTCAAGTCGTCAGTTGTCGGATTCTTGCTATATTCGGTTAAGGAAATTGATGTACTAAAGGAAGCTTATCCATAAGAGACCGAGTTCAAAGAGAACGCGGCATGGCAAGTTATCTTTTAATTAGGAATAGTTTGTTAGTTTCCTTTTATCTTTAGGAAAGTGTGTTTAGTGTCCTATAAGGACTTTATCTTTTCCTTTTATCTTTAGGAAAGTTTTTTTCTTGTCCGACAAGGACTTGTATCAACCCATGAGTATAAATATGTACACCCGGGGTCTATGTAATCTATCTTCACGATCAATACAATTCGGCGCATCGCCACCTTTTACCTTTTCTACTTTATTTTATCGTCCGGCGGGACTTGGCACTTGACGCGGGGCTGCATCGGTGTTCGATCTCCGGCGAAGGGATAAGTCCAATGTTCCGTCGGCCCAGGCAATTGTCTCATCTACGTCAGCGTCGTTCAAGGCTGCATCAGGACATTCGACCTCTTGGATTACTCTGGTTTGGATGATATATTTGCCTACCTATTTATCATATGTCTCTGTTAATTCAGTCTTAGCATATCAATTTAGCTCTATCGGCCGCTTCTTGTTTTAGGGTTTCTGCCTGTATCGGCTAAATCGTGTTGCTAGATTAGATTAGCTTAGACATCTACCACCCTGAAAACTCAATCAACGGCTTGATTGTTTAGATATTATGTTTCTTTTCATACTTAGTGCTGCATCAGTTAAGTTTGATCTACTATGTCGTGCTTAGAATCATAATCTCTAGCCTGCTTCTTGATTGCCAATAAGGGTTTCATCGGGGTTTCAGCCGGTGAGTTATCTGGACATTGCATCGGCTCATAAGGATTGCATATACATATAAGCTGGATTTAGCCGATGACAACAAAGGTTTCACTGTTTAATCTAATATTGTGGATTTCATGACATCGGACCTCCAGCCGATGTGTGCTTTAACCGTCGGATCGATGTTCTATTATATCATATTGCTAGCCGATTGGTTTATACTGGATTATATTGTTATTTCATTACATCGTCATCAGCCGATTGCCTTTATATCATTATCTACATTGGACATATAGCCGATTGCTTAAACCCTATCGCTATCGGCTGGTATCGGCATCGGTTATTATCGGCTATCGGCTGGAACTACTCCATCGGCTTGTCAGCCGATCGGCTGTTTTATCTACTATTTGCATATCTTGTCAATTGCAGGATCAAACTGACTGGCACACCCGCATCTCATCAAGATTTGGACCTACACAGGAGCTAAGCAGATCTTCCAGGCCGATGTGTTCGATTTTCACGTCAACACCTAACTCCCTCTCGACGCCCCCACTCCCCCGTGCCCTTTTGCTGTCGGGCCTAATGGGCCGCGCCCTAGCGCCCCCACTGCCCCTTGTTTGCCGGCCCAATGCCGCACAGTGGTGGGCCGAATCCTTTAGATTTCGGCCCATCACCCAATTTACCATTTAAATTTAGTTTTTAATTTTATTTTCAGCAGCAATTACATTTTAGTCCCTATGTTTTATGTAATTTAGTCGAAGCAGTTCATCAGTTGTACAAACAATTATGTAATGGTCTTATAGACCACTGATGTTATGTGTTTATTAACATAGGTGTTTATTTAAATACCCTGTTTCACTAAATTTATTTGTTGTCTTAATAACATGCCTTTTGCATATTATTTCAAGACACGCTCTACTTTCTCGCTTTATTAATTTACAAAATTCTATAAATTTTGTTTTTTGATTTAGCAAATTCTCTTAATTATGTACAACATAATTAATGGAGGATTTAATGCATGTTCCACTTCACACTTTGACTTGGAAATTAATCACATGTCAATGGAGTTCTATACTTTGGTCATATCGACCATAACTTAGGCAGCGAGTATCTCGCCTATCATAAAGTGGTCTACATTTTGTGATGATTACCCGATGGAGCCCTAGAAATTGGCCGCACTGGTCATAACTTAGGCAGCGAGCACCTCGCCCATCTCACAGAGGTCTACATCTCACGATGATTACCCACATGTGTTCTTTTCCAAGAATATGTTTTGAGAAATGAGATTATTTGAAATTTGGTTGAACACAAGGTAGTGGAGTCCTAAACATTAGCTGCGGTATATTCACCAGAATATATTTGCCTGGAGACCGTGTTTTAGGCAACAAGTATAACTTGCCCACTATTAAGAGATCTACTCCACTGTTTAATTACTTGGAGATTATCCACATTGTGCCACCTAATTTTGAACTCTAACTCAAATTGTCAGGTCTATAACCTACATCTTTCGAAACATTACAGAATATGAAGTCTTACATTTCGCATTGAGATTATAACCACAATATCATGTTTTTATTAATTTACCTCTGTAAATTGATAATGTTAACCATGATTGTAGGGACATGGCAACAAAAGAGTTCGACGAACTCGCCCTCGATGGGACTAACTATCCCATCTGGGCTTCTGATATCAAAATCAATTTTGCCTCTTGGGGGATTTTAAATACAATTGAGGAACCCAATGATGGGGACCCGACAATTGAGCCCAGGAAGCTCAATACAGCCCTTTTTCTTTTGAGACTCTACATTCACAAGGATCTCAAACATGAATACATGTTAGAGACGAGCCCTCTCAACCTTTGGAAAGCTCTAAAAGAGCGTTATGATCAACAAAAGGAACTCATTTGGCCTGAGACTAATTATGAGTGGGTTCATTTACGCCTACAGGACTTTAAAACTGTGGCAGAATACAACCGTGCTGTTCATAACATTTGTTCCAGGTTGAAGTTTTGCGAACAAGAGCCAACGGAGGCAGAAAAGATAGAGAAAACTCTATCAACTATGCTTCCGGAGGACAGGATACTGACTCAACAGTATCGCGCTAACAATTTCCAGAAACATTCTCTGCTTATACATACATTGACTCAGGCAGAAAGACACCATGAGCTTTCTTTAAAGAATGCCCAACAGCGCCCACCGGGCTCTGCTCCACTGCCTGAGGTGCACTTCAATGTACAGAATAATGCTAAGAATAAGAAAGGATTCAAGGGAAATTCTTCGAATAATCCTAAGAATCTGACTGGAAAGCGCAAACGCAACAACAACAGGCGCAAATTCAAGAGTCGAAAGAAAGGAAAAGGGAAGGGTAAGGCACCACAACCTCGTAGCAATGGCAACAAGCATTGCAACAGGTGTGGATCTGACACTCATGTCGCTAAAGACTGCCGCATCCCGAAACATCTTGTTCTCTTGTACCAAAAATCCCTCAAGGACAAAAAAATTTTCTGAGAACCCAAGATTTGAAGCCCACTTCAATCTTACACATGAAGAGCGCCCTGAGGTTGCAAGTTCTCACCAGGCTCCTGTTGAACCAGAGAGCAACCCCAATGTTCTCCCAGAAGATGTCGCTCCACTCTCTGCGATGGACGATATGTTCATGTAATACTGCTCAACAGACCCACTTGGATATTTGCAATGATCTCGGTGTGTCCCACTTGGAGATGAAGCTGCTCTTATCTCAGTGTGCTTGAAACAGTATATTGATATCCTATAAGTTTGCCAAACAATATTAGTTGTAATAAGTAGATAAGTATGAACTCCCTTATATTGTAAGGTTGTATGGCTTGCTAGTCATTAGAGTATGTACTATTAACATATGTAAATGTTATACTATGTATTTGATGTTTTAATTATTGTATGTATGTATATATATTGGATAAAGAATTCTTAATCAAGCAATTCTTCTTTCATTATAGATGTCTATGTATATCGCTCTGATTGGAGAGGAATTATGTCTTGTGGACAGTGGTACCACAAACTCTATACTTAGGGAGATCAAATACTTTCAAACTCTCAAAAAGAGAGAAGGCAAAGTTTTGACTATCGCTGGGCGCGATACTGTGATAGTTGGCTCAGGAAGAGCAATTATTCCACTCCCAATGGGTACACAAATTATAATCGAGGATGCTTTATTGTATCTTGATTTAACCCGTACCCTACTAAGTTATAGAGATATCCGTCAGAATGGGTTTCACATTGAAAGCCATATGGATAATCGAGAAGAATTTCTTCTCTTAACCAAACAAAACGGATATGGCAAACGCATTTGCAAGAAAATTCCATCTCTCACATCGGGATTGTACTATACATACATTAAGCCCATTGCACATGTTGCGTACAAAGTAATTTTTCAAAATGTTGATGCATTCCACACTTGGCATGATCAACTTGGGCACCCCGGTATCGGGATGATGAGAAAAATTATTGGCAACTCTATTGGTCATCATTTGATCATTGACAAATTTCCCAAATCCTCTGATTTCGTATGCACTGCATGTGCTACTGGGAAACTGATTTTGAGACCATCTTATCTCAAAATTAGAGCCGAACCACTTAAATTCCTTGAACGCATTCAAGGAGATATCTGTGGCCCTATTGTGCCAAGATCTGGACCGTTCAGATATTTTATGGTTTTGATTGACGCATCTACTAGATGGTCTCATGTGTGTCTTCTATCGACACGAAACCATGCCTTTGCCAAATTAATGTCACAAATTATAAGGCTAAAGGCAAATTACCCTGAACATAGGATTCAATCAATCCGTATGAACAACGCTGCCGAATTTACATCTCATGCTTTCGATGATTATTGTATGGCATTGGGAATTCAGGTTCAGCAATCTGTTCCATATGTCCACACACAAAATGGTTTGGCTGAATCATTGATCAAAAGAATTAAGCTTATTGCTCGACCATTATTGATGAATTGCAAATTACCTTCATCGTGTTGGGGTCATGCAGTTCTGCACGCTGCTGACCTTGTCCAACTACGACCAACTGCATATCATGAAACTTCCCCAATGCAGTTAGTACGTGGAAATCCTCCAAGTATTTCCCATTTGCGTAAGTTCGGATGTGCTGTATACATACCGATCTCACCACCACAGCGTACCGCTATGGGCCCGCACAGGAAAGTGGGGATCTATGTGGGATTCAAATCTCCGTCGATCATAAAGTATTTAGAACCCTTAACAGGTGATCTATTTACTACCCGGTTCGCTGACTCTATCTTTGATGAGGAACATTTCCCGGCATTAGGGGGAGAATTCAAGTACCATAAAGAATGCCAGGAAATTGATTGGGATGCCCAGGGTATTCCAGCCTCAAACCCACGTACTACTGAAACTGGACTTCAAGTTCAAAAAATTATACATTTGCAAAGACTTGCAAATAACCTGCCAGATAAATTTACCAATTATAAAGGTGTGACTAAATCTTTCATTCCCGCTCAGAATGCGCCAGAAAGAGTGGAGGTACAAAATAAAACCACTCAACTTCCACTCACTAAAAAGAGAGGAAGAAGTATGGCCACTCAGCGAGAAACAATTGCTAATAAGCAAAGAAAGACGGTAAATGCAAACCAACCTTTAGTTGGTACACACCAAATTGATACTATATATCAAGCAGATCGTGATAGTCTGCAACCTAGCTCGGTGGTGCACAATGCTGAGACTAGGAATTCGGAAGACCATAGACACATTGTTTCGGGAGATCATAATGAGTCTATAAGGGTTGATGAAATTGCCATCAATTACTCTGAAACTGGAGAATCTTTTGATAGAAGAGCTACAATTGTCGACACTAATTTTTCTGAACAAATTGCTGAGTGCCTCCAAGTTGATCCAGAACCTAGGTCTATAAAAGAGTGCCAAAAGTGCTCTGACTGGAACAAATGGAAGGACGCAATTGACGCAGAATTAGCCTCGCTTTACAAAAGAGATGTATTCTCGGGTGTAATGCCTACTCATCGTGGTATCTTTCCTGTGGGATACAAATGGGTTTTCGTCCGGAAACGGAACGAAAACAACGAGGTGGTGAGATATAAAGCAAGGCTTATAGCACAAGGTTTTACGCAAAAACCTGGCGTTGATTTCAACGAAACTTACTCTCCAGTTATGAGTGGTATAACTTTCCGATATTTAATATCATTGGCAGTACAAAATCGTCTATTTATGCAGTTGATGGACGTAGTGACAGCATATCTTTATGGGTCACTTGATTCTGATATTTACATGAAGGTTCCTGACGGAATCGACATCCCGAATCAGAAGGTAAATCGTAACATGTATTGTGTTAAGTTGTAGAAGTCACTTTATGGCTTAAAACAATCGGGCAGGATGTAGTACAACCGATTAAGTGAATTCCTTTCACTAAAGGGATACACTAAAAATGATGATTGCCCGTGCGTCTTTATCAAAAAGTCCCCCACAGGATTTTGTATTATCTCGGTATATGTCGATGATCTCAACATCATTGGCAATACACAAGATATTAATGAAGCACGTCATCATTTAAAGACGGAATTTGAGATGAAGGATTTGGGTCAAACCAAATTTTGCTTAGGTCTACAACTTGAGCATTTACCTTCTGGAATCCTTGTGCACCAAAGTGCATATACCCAGAAAATTTTGGAGAAATTTATTATGGATAAGTCATATCCTTCCAAAACCCCTATGGTGGTTCGATCTCTAGACGTGGAGAAAGATCTATTTAGACCAAAGGAAGATGGAGAGGATGTACTTGGTCCTGATTTTCCATATCTTAGTGCTATTGGTGCACTTATGTACCTTGCAAATAGTACGAGGCCATATATTGCTTTCTCGGTAAATCTATTAGCAAGATACAGCGCTGCTCCTACCAAACGCCATTGGACTAGAGTTAAGAATGTCTTTCGATATCTTAATGGCACAAGAGATCTTGGACTTTTCTTTAAAAAGAACCAAGATTCAACTTTAATTGGGTATACTGATGCTGGCTATCTATCTGATCCCCACAATGCTAGATCACAAACAGGATTCGTATTTTTACAAGGTTGAACTGCTATTTCATGGAAGTCTTCTAAACAGACTCTGGTAGCCACTTCCACAAATCATTCTGAAATAATTGCATTATATGAGGCATCACATGAATGTGTATGGCTTCGCAGAATGGTTAACCACATATTAACATCTTGTGGTATTGGTTCATTGGAATCACCTACCATTATCTATGAAGACAATGCCACTTGTGTTGTTCAGATGGAAACTGGTTATATTAAGAGCAACATCACTAAGCATATTGCTCCTAAATTATTTTATCCTCATGAGCTTCAGCAACATGGAGAGATAAACATCTTGCAAACTAAGTCATGTGATAATCTTGCTGATTTATTCACAAAATCTCTACCATACTCCACATTCTTTAAATGTGTCGAAGGAATTGGTATGAGACAACTTAAAAATTTGTAGGATTTAGGGGGACTATCTCCCTCTGGAAAATAACCTATTTTCGTCATATTATACTCTTTTTCTTTTGTATGAGTTTTACCCTTTAGGTTTTCTCATCCAAAGTTTTTAACGAGGTAATATCAACATAAGCTTATATATCCTATCATTTGGCTTTTCCCCACTGGGGTTTTTACTAAATAATAACTGTAGACATTATACTATTTTGGATCAAACTATGAGTTTTACTCATAGATCTAAAATAGTCAATAATATATATCACGGTTCTCTCTTTATTTTTCCCACTGGGTTTTCGAGGAGTTTTACGTGATGTATTTAACTATAATTATTTCTAAGATTATCTTTACAGATATCTGGAACACTAAATGAGTAATGATCAAAGTTGGATTCGATCAAGGGGGAGTGTTATGAAATATTTGGGTGATCTCATCCAACTATATGGATAGAGCAGCAACCAACTCTGGGACACGACGGTTGGTCGTGCCCCACACCTCTTCTCGCCTCACGGCGATTCTAGTAACGGACGCGATGGTAACCATCGCGTCTTCTGTTGCCGCCTCTCTCCCTCCTATATATTGTAACCATTGTTATCAATAAAGGATCGCTCATTCATTCTCTACATTCTTGTGTGCAATTCTGTCTCTCACTCAATCTCTCTCGCTCAATCAATTCTATTCACAATAAAAATGAATCTGAATTCAGATGGCTTATTTTCCAAAAAGTTAAAAGGATTTGTTAGCAAAAAATTCAAAATTAAAAGTATTTTTCTTTTTGTAAAAATAATATTTATTAGCAAAAAGTTAAAAAGAATTTGTTAGCAAAAAGTTAGAAATGATCTGTTAGCAAAAAGTTAAAAATTAAAAGGATACTTTTTAAAAAAAGAAAAAGACAGAGTAGAAATGATTTATTAGCAAAAATATAAAAATCAAAAGGAATTTTTTTATTTCGAGAAAACAAAGATTTGTTATCAAATAGTTGCAAATGATTAGTTAGCAAAAAGTTAAAAATGAAAATATTTTTTTAAAGAATAAGATAAGAGATATCTAATTTTTAAAAATTAAAAGGATACTTTTTTAAAAAAGAAAAAGACAGAGTAGAAATGATTTATTAGCAAAAATATAAAAATCAAAAGGATTTTTTTATTTCGAGAAAACAAAGATTTGTTATCAAATAGTTGCAAATGATTAGTTAGCAAAAAGTTAAAAATGAAAAGATTTTTTTTAAAGAATAAGATAAGGGATATCTAATTTTTGTGTAAAAAGAAATGAATGGAGATGCGGGGTATCGATCCCCGTACCTCTCGCATGCTAAGCGAGCGCTCTACCATCTGAGCTACATCCCCCGCAACGTTCCTCATATTTACTAAATTTATTCATAATTTGAATTCTTCTGCGCAAATTTGTTGCCGCACTAGTACTTCTACACAAACCGTAGGCATCTTCCAAACTTCCAGTACACTCCACTTCTCCCCCCATGGCGATCCCTCCCCGGATCGCGGGGGCCGGCAGCGGCGGAGGCCGCAAGCCGAGGATGCCGCCGCTCCCGCCGGCGAGGACCCTCCTGACCGCCTTCGCGGCGGCGGCGGCGCTGGCCGTCCTGTGCCTCCTCTCCTCCTCGTCCTCCTCCTCCTCCCGCACCTCGTCGTTGCGCGGTTCTTGGGGATCCGCGGCGGCGAAGGGCGGGAAGAAGTACCTGTACTGGGGCGGCCGCGTCGACTGCCCCGGCAAGCACTGCGGCACCTGCGCCGGCCTCGGCCACCAGGAGTCCAGCCTCCGCTGCGCCCTCGAGGAGGCTCTCTTCCTCGGCAGGTAACCCAACAATCCCCTCTGCTTTCCTGCACACCCAAGAAATGGCCATTCCCTTATTTGGATAACAAATGTGCTGTCGATTTTAGGGTGATTCCAGTTAACTTTTGTGAATTCAAATGTTCGAATAGTTCATTACATCAGACACTATACTATAGGGTTGGTACAATTGAAGAAGTACAAGGTGAAAATTTAGACGTGGAGAGGGGGTTTGTCCAAAGATTCTGCAATGTAGTGTAGTACTGTTCTTCTACTTGTTGAATCATTTGAATGCGGTAGAGTTTATAATCAGAGCTCTGGAATGTCTTCATATGAATAATGTAGATTCATGTTCCGTGTTGAGCATTCCTTGGTTGCTCTTTATGTCGGTAATATTCCTTGAAAGTCTTTTATGTTCATTCCTTCTATTTGTAATTTCCTTCTCTAGCTGAATTGTACATGAAAAATTGAAAACTGAATATCTACTTAGGTGGACAATGTTTTCATTTTTAGAAATACACATCACATTCCCTTCCCTGGAAAACAGGAATGTTTGCTGATAACTCAAGTTTGTGCCTCTTGATTCAGAAGAACCGTAGTCAATCAATACAATGGTTTACTCTGACAATGCTACAATGAGTATTTCATGAAGGAATATTTTGAGCATCCTCAGGATCCATGAAAGTGGTGTGGATTATGTTCAAATTGCTGTACTTGATGAGTGTGCATTGCCTTAGGCATGGTAGCATAGGAAACGGATGAGTATTAGAGGGATATTGGGGCATATCTTCTCTATCCTTTTCTTCCTTCATTCCAGGCCAGCATGTACTGTAGCAAGTTCCTATTATTTTCCATTTTTAATTTAATTAATTAATTCATAACTACAATTAAAGTAATGTCAGAAGTACACAAGGCCCATGCTATGTTTTCACATTTCTAAGCACGCTATCATATATGTTTGATGTGAGGCATTAAAAAATTATTATTTTTAACAAGTCTTATTGCTTTCTAGAATATTTGTTATGCCCTCAAGAATGTGCCTTAGCTCGGTACATAACACAAAAGGAATCCTCCATTCAACCAATGCAACTTCGGAGCAAAGGTCTCTGCTTTTTATCCACACATTTTTCTGTTGCTTTTTTGCTACTTAAATCAGAATTTAAGTCATGAAGCAAATATTTGTAGATGGGAAGAAAATTCTTGCTCAATGGATTCTCTATATGATATAGACCTTATCTCAAAAATAGTACCTGTTATTCTGGACAATTCCAAGACATGGCATGAGATAATGTCAAGAAGTATGAAATCAGATGGAGGCATGGCACATGTTCAAGGAATTGGCAGAGCTGAACTCAAAGATAATCCCCTGTATTCTAAAGCTCTCGTAATAAACCGCACTGCAAGTCCTCTTGCTTGGTAAGCACACAGATTATTGTCGTACCATTGGTTTTGACCACTATCATTTGAATTAAAAAAATTGCCTACTTTAATACTGCCAGAATTAGTGAATAAATATAAGATGTACAGTTTTATTCGTTGACTCCTATGATCATTTTATATATTGATGCCCAAACTTTAAGCAGCGTACCTTGACCATCCCTGAAATTTAGGTTTATGGAGTGCAAGGATCGCAAAAGCCGCAGTTCCGTGATGCTTTCTTATACCTTCTTGCCAAGTATGCCAGCTAAAAAATTGAGGGATGCAGCAAATAAGGTACCACTCCTGGCATTTTTTCCTGCATCATTTGTTTATACTGATATCCTTAAATGTAGGCTTTAAGCTTAGGTATTTCATTATATGGTTTTTCCTGTGCTATATTTTTCCTTTGATCAATGAAATTTGGTCGGACCTGCATGTTCAACTTTGGCTGGACCTGCATGCTTAGCAGTTAAAGAAACATTGCTGAAACATCTCAGGTAGTATCTAATGTTTAAATTTGTGATGCAAGACTACCACAATAAATCCTAAATAATTTTATCATCTCCTACTATTTGAGGTTACTGCTTCTATTTTATTCCCCTGAGAATAATCATGAGTAATGAGTTCCATAGTTTTCTGTACATGAAGTATGCACTGTTTTGCTGCCAATGCTGATGAACACTAGTTTAACAAAAGGATGAGCTATAGACTCCAACAATGTTTTTAGATTGAAGAATATGCTTGAAAGACCTCTGACCTTTGTTTTCCATGCACTGAACTAAGTGTGGATGTGTAAAATTCCCAAGATATTTGTTCTCTCTACTTATGTTTCTTCCTCTCGTTGATAGAGATGAAACCAGTTATTTTGAATAATATAGGAGCTTAGATTACCATATACAGCTCTAGCAAATTACCCCTATCTGTTAATGAGATATACACTTCAGTTATGCAATCTGTTGGTTCAATTCTTCATTCATAAACCAAAATATACACATGCACCTTGTAGTTATAGCAACTAGGTAACCTAATTAGTTACACTTTGTCATGAAGTAATATGTGAAACAATATATGTAGCCTTGTTGTAAGTCATATCAGATTAAAAGCTATGCAGTACATGCAGAGGGCACCTTTAGTTCTTATGAATTCTTCAATCAACTAGTTAACACTTCTATTGTAGTATTGTCTGCTCATGTTCAGTAACATGAGTGCAGGCTATCCTGTATTTATATCCCTTTAACATTTTTGTTTCAGATGAAACAAATACTTGGTGATTATGATGCTATCCATGTGCGACGTGGTGATCTACTGAAAAATAGAAAAGACAGATTTGGTGTTGAGCGGAGCCTTCATCCTCATCTGGATAGAGACACCCGACCTGAGTTTATCAAAAAGCGAATTGCAAAGTGGATCCCCGAAGGTCGGACTCTATTCATTGCCTCAAATGAAAGAACACCAGGCTTCTTTTCTCCTCTGTCAGACAAGTAAGACTTGCACTCTTTTGTTTACTGCTCTTCTCACATGAGGATCTCTGGCATTCTTTCTTTGCATTATTATTTTTTTGTGCATGCATCTTAATGAGTTAATGGTAAACCATATCCACGTAAACACAGTAAGGATTTGTCCTTGTTCTTTTTGTTCATATTCTGGGCTGCCAAGGCATTTAAATCTATTTTTGTGTTCAGTTTCTCAACATTTCATGGTTAAGCAATTTTAAAACAAGCTATTTTCTGTAGCACGATAACCAATAACACACGCATGGAAAATTTAACAACTCTTGTTTCTGTAAATGCTTCATTCTTTTCTTCTACTGGCCAGATAAACTCTTCATTCTGTTGCTGACAAAATCTAATTCATTTATTTACCTACATATGCAAGACTATTGATCTTCATCACTATAGATATATGATATATCTCTATATAGGTAAAGACTATTGTAACCTGTAGCTAGTAGCCAAATACTCCAACCCATGGTAAATATTTGACACTTAGAACAAGATTTAGTCAAGAATTTAAAATTCCGACCAGAGGGAGTACTACTGCTGCATAGTAAATGCAGTAATAGGCACAGTATCCCAGCACAGGGACAGTAACATTGAAAGACAAGTGTTACTGCATACATTCATGGCGCTACCGCAAAGAAGGTTTAGGGTAGTTCTATGTGTGTAATTTTAGTAGGAAGCATGTGGATATGCTTATTAAGTCTGTTTCTTATGGTGGCCATTCAGGTACAAATTAGCATACTCGTCCAACTTTAGTAGCATATTGGAGCCAGTAATTGAGAACAATTACCAGCTATTCATGGTGGAGAGATTAATGATGCGAGGAGCAAAGACATTCGTGAAGACAATGAAAGAATTTGACAATGATCTCACCCTCTGTGATGATCCAAAGAAGAACACCAAAGTTTGGCAAATACCAGTCTAAAGAAGAACACCAAAGTTTGGCAAATACCAGTCTATACAGATGATTGATAATAGCTGGTTATCTGACCACCCGGCATTGTGCACTGCAGCACGTTTTGTTCATACATATATATATATGCACATGTGTTCGTATGGGAGAGGTGTGAAATTGTTTCTTCATTCTTTTCACAATTAGTTAGAGAGTAGGTTATAGGAGGAATTTTGTTTGTAGCAGAATGCATATATATATATATATATATATATATATATATATATATATATATATATATATATATATATATATATATATATATATCCCATTTTGCATTCTCTGTATATTCATGTATAACAATCAACTGGCACCTCGAGGTTCAGTTCTGGGGATAATAATTAGTCGATCGATACTACTTTAATGATGATTTTTCTTAATTGTGCAAACCGGCCTTTTCTTCCTTATTGCAGCCCCCGTGAATTGTAATGGCATATTTCCAAATAGCTGAAGTTGCAATGGCATGGTTCCAATTAACCCTTCTATGATAGCCCGGTCGAAGGGACGTCGTGACATGTCTGGCGGCAGTACTCCCTCCGTTCCGTAAAATACTAACCTAGTTACATTCTGTTCTAGATTTATTTTATTTTTTTATGTAACGGAGGGAGTAGCTTCTTCGAGGCTTTTTTATCAACTGTCTGCACTCTGAAGTAGTGCAGTTCCATCTAGTAAAAAAATTAAACTGTCTGCAAGACTGCAATCAGCTGTCTGGTTACCTGTGTCTTTTAATTTGATGTAAGGTAAGCAGTGAAATTTGATAGCAAGGAAATTCCAACTCTATATGCGTTCAATTTTGTAGATTCAAGAAGACTAGAATATGAATTCTTAGGAGTTGTTTGGTTGATAGCTAAATTTACCGCACCTCACTTTCTCACAAGTGTGTCATGTCACACAAAGTGAGGCACAATTTGTTAGCCAGTGTGGCTAAGTTTAGCAATAATTTGAGTCTATGATGCGTAGACCTAATGACTAGCGAAGTGAGACATGATATAAGTGTGATAACCAACCAAACAATATACTAACAAATTGTGACATGCTTAAGATTTGGCATGGCAACCATTGGGAGCCAACCAAATAGCCTGTAAACCTACCATAGCACTTACAATGTTAATTCGTCCGTCAAATAAACAAGAAAACAATATTGACTGATGCATGTAAAGAGAATCGACTCACATTCTTCCTAGTTTACACAATTTCCTCTGGCTAGCTAAAAATCTTAAAAGAAAAACGAAAGTTCGACAAGAAAACCTTCTTGCTCTAACTAGCTATCGACTACCACCCTCGAATAATCTTAACTCGATCATGCTCCCTGGAGAAAAACAATCAAGTTACAACTGGCTAGTTCTTGCAGATCAATAATCAGGACTGATGGACTATCTCTAATTAATAACAAAAATTACTAACAAACAAACTAGGACCGGCCTACTACTACACTCTCATGCATTCCTACGTACATATCAGATCAAACAAAAACAATTAACTGAGCCACATAAAATGCCTGCTATCTAGCTACCCTGGGCAGGTTATACAGCTGCAGCTACGTACGTACGTACAAACGTACCTCTCACTATGTACACTACAATTAAGCATTCAAGCTACGTAGGAGTACGTGCTAGTGTGCTACAGTGACCTAAGTTTAGCTAGCTAGCTAAGCTACCCCTCGCTTCCCTGCTCGTCTCCTTCGTCTTCCTGCACCAGCTGCACCCTCCTCTTCTTGCCATGGTCGTCGTCCAGCCGGACGCCGAACAGCCGCACCGCCGCGTCGTCGTCGTTGTCACCGGACGGCGAGGCGGCGCAACGGCGGCGTTCGGTCGTCGACGGGCCGAGCTCCACCAGCCTGCAGCTGGTGGCGGCCGCCAGCGGCGGCGGCGCCACTGGCTCCACGTGGTTCTGCAGGAAGTAGATGATGTCGTTGTAGAGCTTCCTCATGTGCGCCAGCTCCGACAGCAGCAGCGAGTTGCGCCGCCGCAGCTGCCGGTTGTCCTCCGACAGCGCCGCCAGCAAGTCGCCTCCGCCGCCGGCGTAGTCCGCCGGAGAGGAGCAGTACTCTTCCTGGAAATGGTAGGCTGCTGCTGCTGCTGCTCCAACCGGAGGAGACCTCGGCGTCGTCGGCGGCGAGAAGAGGCTGAGGGGGTAATGCTGGTGCATCGGGAATGGCGGCGGCGGCTGTGGCTGTGAGCAAGACGACGACTTCCTCCGGTGGATCTCCGAGAGGAGGTGCTTGGCGCCCTTCCTGAAGAACTCGTTGGCGAACTCCCACCTGTCAGCCACTATCTTCCTGAAACCCTGCAAAATTAACCAAAAAGCAAAACATGGTAATGTTTCATGCTTGATAGTTGATTACATAAAGATTCAATAAGCAATTAATCAACATCGAGATGATTAAATTTGGGGATAAAAAAAGTACAAAATGAATGAGTATATGTATGGCCGTATTTGTTGTGTAATAAATTGATGATGCTGGAGCTGGACTCAATGCCATTGATGCAGGAGTTCGTATACTATACGCATGTGCATGCATAATGTCAATATTTTGTCTGCCAATGATTGGTGCACGAGGGTATGCATGCATGGTGTGGAGTACTCTAGTTTTCTGAAAAATGCAAGTCAAATTAACTAAAGTGAAGGAGCATCGATAAAAGTTGTATATATTAAAAGATTTATCCAAAGCCGGCTGGTGAGCAAAACATGGGAAATGATACAAATGCTATTTAATTAGGCACATGATAACATGAGCTAGTATACTTAGTATTCCATCAAATTAAGAAAATAGCTCAAATGACTTTGTTATCCTTCATCTATTTGAAAAGTTAAGTCATTTATTATCAGTGAGAGGAATAGCATGTATTTGCAAGATCGAACATGAAAGAAACGATTTAAAAAAAATCTTAGAAATTCCAAAGCAATTATGTTTAGGATAAAATTGAGATGGCTCTAGTGCTAAATGACTATATTTGGAATCGGGGAGAGTACTATGTACTAACTACTGCTACTAACTAGTGAGGCGAAGAGAAGGCTCTTGGCAACTATTTTTGGAGTTAAATACATGATTAATTAAGTACAAATCACAAGATCAAGACATCCAATTAATACATACTAGCACAGTACTGTACTTGTGTGTCCTAAAACAAAAATATGTTTTATTCTACACATATAACATCAACCAAGGAAACATAATAGAGAAAAAGTTTGATTTGAAAGATATCTTTTCCATCATATTTTCCTATGCTGCAAGCTAGATGGATCTTCAAACCAATGGCGCCTCTATTAATTCAATAAACATGCAAATCCAGAACGATAGAACGATAGAGCAAGTTTTCTTGTCTCGTCCTAGGAAACAAGGAATGGATTCTAAACGATGAAATGTCACCGTCAATAACCAGCAGAAAATGGAGTATATATCAGTTGAATTATTGCGGATTGTTGTCCACTACTTTTCAGCACCAAAAACATCAGGGAACACTATAACAGTTTGCACGTGAGCACCTACATGGCTCAATAGACAGAAACAATCTAATCAAAGAATCCCCCAATTTAGTTCTCACTTCTCAGCAAGAAAGAGCAATCAAACGAAAAACTGGCAAGAACATCACCAAAGCGTAGTAGAAACAAGAGGAGATCAAAAAGATGAAATGGAAGAGCTAGCGAAAAAAACAGCATGCATATAACATAATGAGTGAAATTAATTGCGGCATATATATATATATATATACATGCATGATGTATATATGCTTACATAGGTGTTGAGCTGCCTGACGAAGCTGGAGAAGTTGTTGTGCTTGAAGTAGTTTGGGAGGAGGTCCCTGGCGAACTCCGGCGGCCGCCACACCACGAAGGTGGCCTCGTCCTCCCCCCACGACACCACGTCGTCGGTCGACGGGTCGTCCACCAGCTGGTACGTCTTGCTCAGGAACGGCGCCGGCGCCGCCGTCACCGCCGCCGCCGTAGTCGTCGAACGGCCGTGCGAACGCTCCATGGACACCACCATCTCGCCGCCGCACCTCTCCACGAGGAATGCCATCGATCTGGCCTGTAGGTTATAACAACAAGCTTAATGCAGCAAGTTATTAATTAAGCTACCTCTCCACACGGAACAAGAGAAGAACGAGAAGCTTTGTTGCTACTCTACTTTTGCTACTGCTAAGCTACTATACTGTATACTCTCTGATCTCTAGATCTCTCCTCTTCAGCAGCTGAATCTCAAGAGAGTTTCAGTGTGACTCACATGCGCACACACACATACACAAACACGGTTGCAGGGGCACACACCCGGCAGGGCCGGCCGGCTACCCTTCAAATATTCTCTCTTGTGGTGTTGTGGGTCACTGGCTCACTGCCTGGACACTGAACACATGCACACACCCTCTCTACCACTGCCTCCTCCCATCATTATGCATGGATAACTGTGCAAGTGAGTAGCAGCAGCTATACTAGCTAAGCTATGTTTCCTGGATTTGTCCACATGTACGCTTGAACACGTACAGTTAATTGTTGTGCGATCCGTCGAGACCAGCCAAAGCAAGGCCTCGTGAAGTTTTGCTGCTGGGAAACTACTGTTCGGTAGTGGTACTCCATGTGAGTATGTGACAGCATATGCATGCATGTACCGTATATATACAGGCGTAAACGTGTATATATATATAGCGTGCTTGCAAGTACGAGCAGCTATAAGCTATAGCTAACTGCATACGTGCATGGTAAGCACGTTATAGCCATGTAGGGGTAGTACATCAACACATGCATGATGCCTTCATTTCAAATTTGAATCACAAAAGTAAGTATATTTTAAAACAGAGAGGAGTATATGATGTAGGCAAAGAACAAAAATGAAGAAAAAGAAAGACATATATGCATCTAGATACTCCTTCCGTTTCAAGTTATAAGACGTTTTGACTTTGGTTAAAGTTAAACTACTCTAAGTTTAGAATGTAGAGTAGTTTAACTTTTTTCTATAAAATTTAGAGTAGTTTGACTTTAACTAAAGTCAAAACGTTTCAGGTTATAAGATGTTTCAAGTTTGGCTAAGTTTATAGACAAATATAATAATATTTATATTATCAAATTAGTTTTATTAAATTAATAATTAAACATATTTTATAATAAATTTATCTTGGGTCGAAAATATTAATATTTTTTCCTATAAACTTGGTTAAACTTGAAGCAATTTGACTTTGACCAAAGTCAAAAACATCTTATAACCTAAAACGAAAAACGAAGGGAGTAGCTAGCACCGTTCTTATATATGGCATCTTTCTCTTATACCTGTAAGCCCATTTATACTTCATAATTATTTAATCAATTCAAGTTGATTAACCAGTCAATACTAATTTTGTAGTCCTACTAATTTTCCTTCTTCTTGGAAGACTGGCCATATATGTAATGTAAGTACCACTCTCTGGTCTCTATCCATGCATTTTACAGTATGTAAACAGGATATCTAGCGTAGCCTTCATATATGACACATTACATATGCGACACCACATACTATCAAATTAACCCATGCATGCACTAGTTATAAATTCAAACAAAATGCTCAGCAAGAAAAGTACGAGCCTCATCGGTTACCCATATATTCTCTAATAAGCCAAACAACTTATTAGGGAATAAAAATTAATTGAGTAAATTTCACAAAACTACAGGTATTTTGACCAAATTATCACAAAACTACAGATTTAAGGAGTTGTCTCACAAAACTATATATTTAGCACCAAATTTATCACAAAACTACAGATTTTAGATTAAGTATCATAAAAATGCATATTTAATATTGAACTTATCATAAAACTACAACTTTTGGAGTTTAAATCCCTAGCACCATTATTATGGTGGAGCTATAAACATAATTACTTTGTGATTAAATTGATTCTAAACCTGTAGTTTTGTGATAATTTAGTTACTAAATATGTAGTTTTGTGACACTTCATCTTAAATGTGTAGTTTTGTGATAAATTTGGTGTTACATGTGTAGTTTTGTGATACACCGAGTTAAATCTGTAGTTTTGTAATAATTTGGTCATAGTATCTGTAGTTTTGTGAAATTTACTCAAATTAATTTATAAGTAAAATTTTTATATATTTGTTCGTAGCGACTTAAAAGCAAACGTTAAAAGGAAATTACGTCGAAAATATCTTAAAATCAAGTTCAAAAATTTATTTTGGCTTTTGCTTTGGGTTATTAGGGCAACCGATGGGGCTCTACGTAGTGAAAGAAATAGGAAATTCTAGAGCAGTCAATCAATCTACACGATATTTTATCCCTAAATAAGTACACTTATAGCACATTCAAATTTTGTCACACAATAAGTGTATTTTCTAGATACTGCTTTTCCCCAACCACCCCTTATTGTTCAAATCTTACCCCTAACTACCTTCTAACTCCTAACCCCTCCTTCATTGAATTAGGGCATGGACATCTGTCATTTTCCTTGCACAACAATTAGAGCAGTTACAATAGCAGACTATAAGCCAGCTATAAACACATTTCGAGGGGATAAAAGAGGAGAGAGAAGAGCAGCGGGCTACAGATTTATAGTCAACAACAGCACGGACTTTAAAATGCAATGTATGTATGATAGGCTGGACCAGGTATTAATAGTATGGTATATGTTTATAGGTAACTATTGTATGAATATGCTATTAAATTGATTATACATGATTTGGAGTCGGTAGTTGGCTATACTATGCTCATAGTCTTCCTGAGTGCTAGCTAGAAATGCACTTATTTAGAGATAGAAGTAGTACTCCCCCTATCTACTTTTGATAGCCATATTTCATTTTGGCACACATACCAAGGATAAGTGATTCTACTTATCATCCATTAGACATGCTACTAGTCATTCCTCGTAAACAAGCGATTCATTAATATTTACGTTTCTCAATGCCCATGTAACCAATCTTGTGTGGAAGAATGGAGAGTCACGTATTAAATCCAAGAAAACCATTAAGATGATAAGTTGTTGGATTGATATATACCTATCAAAAATAAATTTTTCAGATTTAGAAATATGACTATCAAAGTAGATGGAGGGAGTATTAAATAAGAGTACATACTACTGACTGGAATCCCCATGGTATATAGTGACCAAATTATTCTGCCATCTGACCTTGCTACTTGCTTTATGCAAAGATGTGTTTGTTTGCAGAGAAAGAAAGCAGGTACTTTGTGCGTTAATGAGTACTAACAAGTTTCAAGGCATACCCGTGACTTTCAGAGCATTGAACATCAAAATACTAGGAAAAAAACCCTTTTTTGATCCAACATCAATTTCCTACTGCTCTCTCGAGCCATTGGAGTATAGTACTGCAGCATGCATCGTATGCATGGGTAATCTGCAGGTAGCTGCAGCTTCCATTAATATCATATCTATGAGCAAGAGAACAAAACACTTCTCTCCCCAACTTGTTGAAATAATGATCAACATTTAAAGTTTTCCTCTCTGTTTTTTTTTTTTGACATGGATTGATTAATTGAACTTTCACCATGTATGTTTGTCCACTTAGAACAACATGAAAGTTGATGCATGCTTCTTCTAGTACTTGGGATTTGAGGAAGGAAAAAAGGTCTTGATTATGATTCATAAAATCAATGCTAGCTATTCTTCACAAAACGAGGCAAAGATATAGACAAATATTACAAATTAGTAACTGAAAAACATGCCTGGAAGAGAAAAGAGAGATGACCTTTAATTAGAGGAGAACACATAGCTGGATGTAAAAGCTGGGTGATGGACATTCTGTTGTGAGTGCAGCCGTGCAGTACTCATGATCTCCTCTAGTCCTCTGTCCCTGTCTTCTTTCCTTTTTCTTTTTCTTCTATAGCACCAGTTTCCCTCAGTCAAACTAGATCCAATAGGGTAATACATATGGCACCCCAATTAGACAATCCATTTCAGAGCAACTTTGGCGATGCAGTTAGCTATTAGCTTGTCATACCTCTCAGTTGTGCATTAAGGCAGACATGGTCTAGTGATCTAAAAGTTGTTGCCATATAGCTGATCAGCTATAGCTTGAGGGCCAAAACCTACAAGGAATAATGACACCTAAAAACATTAAACAAGTCAAGAAGCCATAAGGAGATGGGCACATATATACAATACATAGATATAATTCTGATAGAAACTGTTTGCGTTCTGTAGTGTTGGCTGTGAGGTTTGAATATAATGGAAGATTCTGTTCCACATATGACAAGCTGCTTTAATGATGTGTTTGCAGAGACATTTTATGAGTACATCACATGACCTTTCTCTATCGCACATGTGGCCCACTGCATTTGTGGCCGCTGGGCATGTCTAGATCTAGCCTTTGACTGGCTAGATCATATAACACACCAAGAAAAAGAAAGAGAAATGATGAAGATGTAAAAGATTGAGAATACTATGTTGAGTCTTCTATATATAACTTTTAGCACAGGTAATATCAGACATTTTTTGTAGTTAGCTTGTGATCCTAGACTTCATTATTTCCATATCATTTCTAAGGGTAGATTCCTTATGTGCTAATAAGAACTCACATGCATGATCCAATATTATCAGTGCGATATATAGTGAGTGTCAAACAGTGATTGCAATTTTCCGAAATTTCGGTAATTTCAGACCCCCACCGGCAAATCAATATATCGACCGAAATGTTTGGGTTTCTCAATTTTTTGTTGAAGTTGGTCAAAGTTTATTCAAATTCAGTCAAATTTCAAAAAATTTCGGTCCTACCAAAATGACCGAAATTTCCGCCGAAATCGAAAGTGTAAGCAAGGGTGTCAAATCAGGGAATATTTAAAATTTAAACAGCATATATATAAGAAATTTATCCCCTTTTCTTCTCTATTGGGGAGGCCCTAATTGCCTAAATGCTACTGAAATGCAACTTTCTCACACAATATTAATTTATACTTTTAATCTCACACAATCCGTTTGATATTAACCATACTGAAATGCAACTTCCTTCTAGGGTTCAACTTTCCACCTGAAAAGTGTTCCCTGGGCCTTTTTACAATATAATGACGGGGAACTGATAATTGGTTACTACTGTTAAAATTTTAATTCTTATTCAGTTTTATCCAATTTTATTTTAAAATTTCTACGACTTTCAACCTCAAATGAATAGCTTGCCATATCAAACAGTATCCAAATCAATAACCATCTGCCACAGGAGCACTGTTCAACGTTCATTCCGGAGGAGGTGATCAGGGGAATGAACAAGTACCCTCCGTCCCTCCCTGCTGGTTTCTTTTACCAATGAAGATCGTCATTAGAATAGGCAAGATAATAACAAGAGTACGACTGTACAATACTCTGTGCAAATAAGACTGTCTAGCTAGTTAGGGCGTGCATGTGAATACAGACCACTGCTCATGGATGCATATGCATTTTGGTCCTAGACCGCTGCATGGGGAAGAGCTACGTAGACTGTTGAATTTTAGCATGCATGGTTGCCACTCTTGTACGTACCTGATGACTCCCTGGAACCTCGTGACAATTGGATGTGCTTGACTAAATAGATATCCTTTATGAACCCGCCAAGGGGCGAACTTTCTCTCCCACTCTTAGACTGTGTTTAGTTCCACGTTAAAATTGGAAGTTTGACTAAAATTAGAAGTTTAACTAAAATTAGAAGTTTGAAGAAAAAAGTTGGAAGTTTATATATGTAGGAAAGTTTTGATGTGATGGAAAAGTTGGAAGTTTGAAGAAAAAGTTGAAAACTAAACCAAGCCTTAGGCTGTGTTTAGTTCCAAAATAATTCTTCAAACTTCCAACTTTTCAATCACATCAAAACTTTCCTACACACACAAACTTCCAACTTTTCCGTCACATCGTTCCAATTTCAACCAAACTTCCAATTTTGATGTGAACTAAACACAGCCTTAGCTTGATTTATTATTTTTCTTTTCAGAAAGAAGAATCAATATCCCTGCAAAAGAATCAGCAACCAGAATGAGGAATGGACCAACTAGAGCCACCATCATGGATCCCAGCACCCTGTACAAAATAATGCTTTGCATGACCATTCTCCATCATTACATGATATTTTTCAGGCACACAGAAGCATCTCTGTATGGATATGTTTAAATGCAGTCGTCTTGAAGATATGAGCAAGTTTGCTTTGTCCCGGCACAATTTCATAACATAATTAAAAACGATGGGATAATATCTGGATATGGCCAAGTTTTCGCAATTCCCACAGCGGGCATGAAAGATAGTGACATTAACCATTAGGCAGCAGTAGTTATTATTTCTGGACTAATGCCATTGCTTAGAGCGCAGGAATATTATTGGGAGAAAACTAAAGGAAATTAGAAATGGGCATTTCAAATGGAGTCAGTGGAATTTTGCATGAACTAGGGAATATGTACTCAAGCATTTAAAATGGACCCATTCTAGACTCCAGCTTTTATTTCACTGTTGAATAAAAGAAGTCGTTTTTATTTTTTTTTAAACATCGTTTTTATTCTTAAAAAATATAGAGATTTTTGACAGATGAATGTGTATAATTGGGAGTTAAGGTGTCTGCTACTACTAGAAAACAGAGTTTAGTGAAATCAGTGGAAAAGATACTATTCTTTTTTGAACATCGAAAAGGGGATACTATTCTTTTTTGAACGTCGAAAAGGTCCATTCTTTTTTTCTTAAAAAATAGCCACAAACAACCTGGTAGAGATTTTTATGCAGGGAACAGAAAAAGGAAGAAAAGGTGATTCAAGAGGGTTGCCTAGCCAAAGGAAGCTTTTCAGAGAACATTTCCTTCTGCTCAGAGAGAGAGAGAGAGAGAGAGAGAGAGAGAGAGGTGCATGCATGGGCCAGAGGACTCAGGTTCAGATCATTAAGGGAAAACTGATTAAAGTCTGTTCTCATAATAAAGGAGGTGTAAAGATGTGAGTTTACCACCCCTCTTTTCCAAACTCTTACACACCTCACATGTGCATGCTCCCCAGCAACTCTCTCATGCTGCCATGGCCCATGGGTTGCCTTAGGATACAGACAGGAATGCTTCTGGGCACTAGATTTAGATGTTTCTGCAGTAATAAACAGAGAGAGTCATCATCTTGTGTCCAGAGCCTCGCAGATGAACGGATTGTACCATCTGATTCAACTAAGCATGCATGCAATCATCCTATAGTACATATCATACTAATGCTCTTAACAGGTGAAACTTCTTAAACAAAGAAAGGAAGACATTTTAGTGTGTATCTGAGTATACCTCTGTCCTGTAAAGAAAAGCTTGACGATGTCTCTCAAAAGCTTTCATAAAAAATCTTCTCCCTAGAATATAAAAGAGACAAACCTTTAAACTCGAGATATGCTCGGAGAATGGAGAGCAAGCAGCTTTAGAATAGGCGAGCAAAAGAGAACTGGAACTCACTCGGCCACCTGTACAGCCCGATCCGTTTGTAGTGTAAGATTGATAAATCCCTGCTCCTATTAAACATGAATAAGTATTGAGTTAGAAGAGAATCTCCAAAACAGAAGTTAAAGACAAGTCAACATTAAATGGTATAAAAATCAAGCAACCTTTCAAAGTTTCAATACCACATGCTAGATCTTCTTCTTATTCATTCTGTGTTTTGCGAAAACAAACACACTGCCAAAAGAAAAAACAAGTCGCCAGTTACCACCGCACATGACACGTCAGATATCTGAATGGGAGGTAAGCAAAGATACAGGAGCAGCTGGCGCACACATCTGGCGCGGCTAGCAGCAGCAGAACGAGCCCATGCATGCGGCACACTGACGGCCAGCTAGCTCACTAATTATTTCTGCCCATAAATGGCCTTGCTATAGGAGCAGCAGTCGACCAGACATGAGTCCAAGCTCGTGCACTGCACACGTGAGTTGACACCAGGATTCATGTGCATGAAGGTTCCAACACACACACACACACTCAAACACTCACACACAAGCATTAAACTTAAGCTACACACCAATCTGGAGACCGCAGCTATGCTCTGTACGGTGCAGTCGAGCACTCCCACCCATCTATCTCTCTTTCACGGAGACAGAGGCCCTGTTTAGTTCCTCCTCCAAATTTTTTTATGTATACGGACACACATTTCAAGTATTAAACGTAGACTAATAACAAAACAAATTACAGATTTCACCTGTAAACTGCGAGACGAATTTATTAAGCCTAATTAATCTATTATTAGCAAATGTTTACTGTAGCACAACATTGTCAAATCATGGCATAATTAGGCTTAAAAGATTCGCCTCGCAATTTACATGTAAACTGTACAATTATTTTTTTTTCATCCACATTTAATGCTCTATACATGTGTACAAACATTTAATGTGATGGAATTTTTTGAAGTTTGAAGGAAACTAAACACAAAATAAAGGCAGAGCCAAGGTCTCCGGTGACTAGCCCTGTGTGGGCTCCTGTTCTACCACATGGATTCACATGCGCCAACGCCTCCTACCATTAGTTTTCATCTTTTCAAAATCTTATTCACCAGAGGTGAACAGTTATACATGTTTCTGTGTGTATCTGCTGTTTGCCTGGCCTCTGCACCTGAAGCTAGCAATTTCCTTTTCTTTTTTCTATTTTACAGGCACTATGAGCTGTAGGTGGCTTTGCATAGAGCCATGCACGCAGGCACAGATCTTTCCAACCTCTTCTTCCCGAATCTAATCATTCAGGGGTCAGCATTGGCCTGTTCTCTAGAGAGATCACAGTGCGTTGGTAAAAGAAAAAGGATGCCCACTAGTCTAAAACTATGAATGGATCAATCACATACTATACTCATGTTTAACCCTTTGGAATCAGAAAAAAGGGAAGTCTACCATTGATAGCTCCTATTCAGTGTTTACACTCAAGTTGTACAGTAAGATATTCCCAGGAGGTAGGAACTATAGAGCACCTAAAGACTTTTGTTTCATCAAGGAGAACTACACTGAAGTTGAGCATCTAGTGCCAGCCATTCTTTCAGCATTTAAGCGAAGTGATGATCGAAAGAAGCAAATAAACCATATGATTTATTACCTTAATTAGTTTATTAAGAATACAGAACATTAGATTGATATAAATAGCAAGATACAGGGATAAAATATACAGAGAAGAGCTACTATACATCACTAAGTTAGATTCATCATCTATGAACAATTCTTTTTTTTTTAAAAAAAAAAAGCTCAGCCCCAAGGGGAAAGAATTATGAACACTTTATCTGGAATAAAAGAAACATCAGAAAATATCAAACAGGCACAGATCTATTACCAGTTTAACTCCACTATAAAATGCAGTTTTAGTAAATCCCACAGTTTATTAAGGTCAAAACATCTTCAAAGCACTCCAATTAAGACATTATATGTGACCTCCAAAGAAGTCAAGGATGAAGACAGCTCCACTCCACTTACCATATGTGGATCCCATCATGCAGTCCTGAACTGTTCTCTGATCTAATTTTCTGGCCTCCTGCTTATCCAAGTACAAGGTAAATTAAAGGTAACAAGATTCACCAGAGTTTGTTGCCCCCTAGAGAGGTAAAAATATCTTGTCAACTTCATGGTGAATGGTCTGATCCTGTTTGAATTATTTTTTTTTCTTGAACCTTTTTAATATTTAATTTTCGTCCACATTTTTTTCCATATCGTACTGTTTAAATATGTGGGAATTAAACAAAAAGAAAGTCCTTATGATCCAGTATGCCAAGGAAATCATAAATTTTCCAATCAGACAAGTTCTCTATTTTTCAGATTTGACACCAAACACGTACACTAAAACTGGCTAAGAAAAAAAAACCGATCTGATCAACACATCAGACAGCATGTGACCAGTACACTGGCATGCTAGAAGGACAATGTAGAAGATGTGACAATTTACTAGCAACAAAATAACATGGGATGTCTCTATAGCGTGCTAAAAGGGAAGCCAGTAACCAGCAGGGAAGGGCATATGCAGGGAATTAACCAAGTGACGGAAGAATGTTGCTAGCAATGATTGTCCTAGTGAGCTCCTCTTTTGAGATGCCTCCATTGAGGTGGTCTCAGTAGATACTGAAACAAAGATTTAGATCTCCATGGCTAAAGCGGGAGAGAGGAAAGAAGAGGAAAAGCAAATGGGAATCATTAGAACTTGCCAACTTTCTGAACGCAGTTGGTCCACTCTGGAATCAAAAGGAGTCAAATGGCCTATAAAGATTAGGAGTTTTCTAAAAGCTGTGACTTTACACTGTAACTCTTATCTAGTGAAAGAATGTTGTCTTAAACATGGTATGGCTAAAGGTGGAGGTTGTCTTTACAGTAAAAAGAAGCAATGCATTACCAATGACAAGGCGAAAAATGCCTTTAAGAATGGAGGATTTTCTTGTGGCTGTGATAAAACAAGAGCTGAATACTAGTGTCATATAATAGCATGGTCAAATGTGTAGACACTCTTGAAGTAAAAGCTACTGACATACTTCCATAATTTATTGGACTTTTAATATTTTGTCAAGGTTGGTTAAGTATTTTTTTCATCAAACTAAATAGTGAAAGAATAAAAGCAGAAAACAGAGGTATGAACATAGGTTATAGGAAACTCAAGTACTTGCATATATTCGTGCAATGCAGTCCGGAAAGAAGGATAAATCCAAAGTGTACTGGTAGATTCCTCTAGTACCTTCGTTTGGTCCAAGGGATTTCCCATACCTGCAGAAAAGCAAAAGTCACTTTTGAGTTTAAAGGAAACATGGACTTGCATAGGATTGTCACTATCAGGAAAAACAGTAGTTATAAAACTCAACTTTGAAAGGATGGCACTTCTTTTCACACAATCCAAAAAAGCGACAAAGGATCCTAAGAATAATGTGATACAATAAATTGTTGCAACATCAACAGCTCTAGTATATTTCATACGATATCTGCATTTCTCTTACAAACAGTAATTAAATAAAATTAGCTCTGTAAACAGCAATCCTTTATGACCTCGTCCGATTACTGTAAATTGCAATATGAATATTCTAGAAGCTAAAAGAATTCATTACCACTGAATTGCCTTGTATTCCTGTGTGTGTTTTAGGTGTCCACAAGACATTGCTAAACCACTGAAACCCCAAAATAAATTGCATTGGGTCCTTTGACCATTTTGAACTAATGAATCTCAAATTATGCTGACAATGGATCCAAATTTCAAATAAACGCTACACGACTAAATTTGTGATGCCACTGCTATTCGATTAACATAGCAAACATGATGACATGTCACAGCTTCAATTGGACAACCATCTTAGTCTAGCCTCTCAAGTTTTGCTACCTCTCAGCTTTCAATTACTGTGGATACAGATTATTTCCTTATCAGTTATATTGAATATGGCTCATGATACAAACATATATGCAGAGGTGATCACAATCTGATCATTATTTTCTTGGTTTTAAGCATAAAAATTGAAGCTATTTATCCCAAAGAGTCTTTAGGATGAAAACAACATCTCAAGCATAATTGCTATATTTTTTGTGACACTTGTGAGTCACCACCAAGCATTAAGTTACCTCATAGCACAAATAAAATAGACTATCTATTAGCTATTTAGTTATCACCACAAAAAGCTTTAATTGATCACCACAGTAAATTTTGGCACCTAACAGTTTGTTGTCAGAGTGACAACATCATACAGGTTTCTCATGGAAATGCAACAATCCTCAGTCTGCACTTTGACCTCAGCAAACAAGTATAGAACAGTTTATAGTATGAAATGAAACATGTTTACATAACTGCAGCAAGAAATTAAGTGGATGCTCCAAAAGATCAAACAACAGTACAAATTTTCCTAAAATAAACTACAGGATTTACCAAATGTAAAATACATCATTGAATATAAAAATAAAGCTTAGTTAGCACTGATCTAGAAAAAAGGGAAACTAATGGAAAATTCTGTTTGATGCTAAGGGGATATTGTGTGCATGCTATAACATATTAAATGTATGACAGGATAAAAAGATATGCGCTGTGAGTTGGTGGAATTCTTCGCAGACAATATCATTAGTACCTTGCCCAATTCTGCAGACATGAAGAAAAGGCCATCAATTTGTCTTCTGTTCTAGTGCTTTCAATTCTGGACCTTTGTTCACAGGACAGGTATTAGAAACCAATGTATCTGTAGTGCACCCTTCTCTAAATTTATCTTTGCAGCCTCAATCTGAACCTGAATAACTATAACTCGAGCAAATCACTGATAATTCACTGCCAAAATTAAAACATTCTTCACTGCAATCTAAATGGTTCTCTCTTGTTCTTTTACTTCTATCTGTCTGTCTTTCTTTGGCTTTCACTAATCATCGTATTCCTTTACTATCTCAGGAATATCTTACTTGAAGATAGGTCCATGAAACACACTCTGTCATTCTACCATAAGTTGTAAGCCAAGTCGCTATCTTAAAAAGGCATACCTGCTAGAAGCATATAAGCTTATAGCTTCATCCCAAGTATTAACCATATTAACATACTACATCTGTATCTTTGGCTGTTTTGTCTTTTTTTTTTTCTTTCGATAGCTGGTTCTTATTTCTTTACATAAGCATTAATACTACGAGAAGCTGCTGCAGATGCATTGCAAAGTACCTTAGAAGCTGATAATGCGGTTGCCCATATTTTCTCCTCTCCTAGTTCAGCTTGATCCTGCAATATGAACAACTGATGTTGGTCAGACAAGCTTGGCTTCAGTGGAAGAAGAGGACTAAAATGAGATAGCAGCAACATAGTTTGGTCCAAAATGCAATCTCCTGTCACTAGGAGCCTCTGTATTTAGATATAAATAAACTAGACACAAACAAGTGAACAACCCTGATGCTTAATGGGGTAAATCCAACAGAATGAACCCAAAAGTCTCTGCAAATAACAACAGAGCTTGTCACATGCATTACAGGATTGTCTCACAGTTCAAATCTTCAGCAATTCCACAAAGAAACATCAAACATATTCTGAACATTACATTGCACGAACTTCCTCCGAGATGAGCCTCAAGCAGAAGGCGGCCGCAGATCGTAACATTCCTTGGCCATGCGAATACATTGCAACCAATGCATCACCTCCACATTAGGGTCCTTCTCCAGAACAACATCTCTAACAGCAATCTGGATCGCACCACGGTACAATACAATCCTGCCTCGAACCCTCAACAGAGTGCCCAGGCTCACCACCTCTGACATCCTCAACGCCATCTCTGCAGTTGGATCAGAATCTGATGCCCTGGATGAACTGCTCGCAGCATTCAGGTAGTGGTGGTTCAGCCACAGCACGCACGGCACGCATCCGGTGCCATCGTCCACCAGAAACCGGAGGAACTTCTCCCTGCGATCACGGGAAACCACGACGCCGACGATCTCGGCACGAGTAACCGTACGGCCGCAGCGAGCGAACGAAGGCGGCGAGGTGTGGCGGGAGGCCAGGGAGAGGAGATCGGCAGCCAGGAGCTTGACGTGCACGAGATGGAGAGAATCCATGGGAGGCGACCTGTCCAATTTTTGGGAAGAGAGATGCAGCAGGTTCGAGACTCAGAAATGTTCGGGCACCAAACGAAAAAAAAGGATGAAATCAACATCCAACTCTAGCAATTTTGGGGGGAGTCGAGGAATCATTTCACCTCTGCCTCTTGTCAGCTTCGCTCCTGCAGGTCTCCCTCTGATGGAGGATCGCAGCTGCTGTCGCCGCTGCCGCGCCGCCCTCTACTGGCCGCGATCGCCGCCGCCCTAGGCTTAGACAGGGGTTCGAGGTGACGGGAGGCCTCGCCGCGTCGCCGGGGAGGCGCACGTCGAGAATGGGCGGAGCTACCGACGGGAGGAGCCGTACTGAAGGCCCGCCGCCACCGCCGCCCGCCGCCGCCGCCGCCGATGGAGAAGACGAGCGTGCAGTGCAGCTGCAGCACGGCTCGTCGGGAATCGGTAGTGCCCGGCGGCGCGGCTCTCGGGCTGCTCGCTTTTCACCGGCCCGGCCCAGATATAATGGTAGGCCCAGTCCGGCCCGGATCAAGGTGTTGGTCGGCCCAGTAAAACCGTGCGGCCCAAGTAAAAGCCGGCGTGTTTTCCGCCCCTTCTTCCTCTCTTTCTCTTCGGCCTCTCCGCCTCCGCCATTGACAGCGTTGACCAAGTCAGCCGCTCCAGCCTCTCCAAGCGGCTAGGTGAGCAGCCGCTGCTACTACCCTCAACTGCTCCACCTTCCAACGCCATTAAGGCGAGGCGAACCACCGGAGCAGCAGCAGAGCGCGGCCGATCCCCTCCCCTCCCCTCCCCCATCTCGACGCCGGCGGCGAGCGAGCCCCCACAGGTTCCGTGAGATCCGGGCCATGGCGCACGCGGATGCGGACGCCGGGGACCTCCCCCCGCCCCCCGCGAAGAAGAAGAAGTCTCCCACCGAGGAGGAGGCGGAGAAGAGGTAGGTCTCGGAGGGGGGGAATTTTTTTTTTTATCTCCGCTTTCGCTCGTCGCGGGGGTAGTAGGGCGGTAGAGCTCTGTGGTCTGTTGATCTTAGCGAAGACGGGAGCGGGAGCAGCAGAAAATGTGGCGGGGGAAGCTTGGGCGATCGCTGCATTCACGCTTTGTCTGGTCTGTCGTTTGTGCCGCAGGAGGAAGAAGCTTACTCCGGGGAGCTTGATGAAGGGGCTTATTCGGTCTGGTGGGGGTGACGCGACCCCTGCGGAGGGAGATCAGGTCAGAGCATTGTGTCTCTTGTTTTCCGTTGCTAGGCTGTGGCTGTGCGATTGCCAATTGTGCTTACAAGTTGCAAACCGAACAAGGATTGTTTCATCTCACAAAATTAGGATCGTTCATCAGTGAATAAACGGAGGCAGTATATGTTGTGCACATGATGTTATGGTATTGCCTGGCATTGGACATATAGTATGTAATTGGAAACAAGAAAAGCTAAGCAAATTCAATTAAAGAGCGAGCATCTAGTAGGCGATTTCGTAGTAATCAACAAATCGTACAATGACTTAAGGCTGTTCTTGTAGGCTGCAAGTTTTGATTACCACCAGTGTTCTGCATTGGGTTTTTAAATGAATTTTCCAGTGAGAACTGTTTCAAGTTTTACATTAACCATAGAAAGTTTTTTTCCTTGATGGAATTCTATATGTTGGAATTCTAAGTGGCTCTATTTGCCTGCAATCAAAACTTGCACCTGTTCAACACAAACGGGTCAATTTGAACTGACCATGTATGGATAAGCTTCTCATCTCAGAGTATGTCAGTTGACTATTGTAGCGACTACACTGCAAATGTGTTATTGTTTCTGGAAGCGACTCACCAAGCTCTGCTTGGATCATTGTTTTGCTTATGATTTTTCTAAAATGAGGATCACATTTCTGGTTTCAAGTTTTAATGGGGATCACATTTCTGGTTTCAAGTTTTGAGATGTGGAACAATCAATCTACTGCAAAAGAAATATAACCTTCTTGATACTGCACTGCTGTCTAACCCTCATAATAGCTATGTTGACCTTTCATTGGGTGATATCTGACTTCATCTGTAGCCTGTAGGGAACTGAGGGGCCTCTGGGTGGTCATGTTTTTGCTCATTCAAATCGTTTTGCAGGTTATAGTTCATTGCACGACTCGGACAATAGATGGCATCATTGTCAATTCTACAAGAAGGGAGCATGGAGGTGATTATCAACTTCTTTTCACTTTTCAGCTCTTTTGACTGTCAAGTGCTTACGTGGTGTGTATTTTGTTTCTGAACACCAATATGTCATGAGGATATTTCTGACTTGATAAATTCGTATCTGCTTTATGTGTATATATAATGTGTCATGTGTGGATAGTGGTTCCGTGTTCACAAGTTCTAAATAGCTGCGAATATATTGTTTCTTAAATTGAACATCTTTATATGCTGGTATCCTATTTAGTGGTTTTAATCAGGGATGGGGCATAGATTAAGGTAACTGGGCTATGGTTCCCCCTAGTCTTTGAACTATTTGCATTAGTACTAAACTACTAATGAATATGTAAAGTTGAACATGCCCATCCACCCGGTTTACTCTAGACTCACTGTCTGCATGTTCTTTGGAATTGACCAAATTAACTAGTGGTTAGTACTGCCTACTAGCAAGGCTGAGCCTTGTTCATGGACGGTTCATTCTGTGTGTGCAATAGAAAAGCTGAACAATATTTATTTTTTGTTTGCTAATCATCCCAAAAAGTTTTCAGGAATATTCTTATCTTTCAATTAACTGTTACATGAATTTGTCATTACTCATTATGAGCAATATTATTGTTTCATTTGTATCAGTAATCAGCTCGTCTCCTGGAGTTCTGAAGTTCTAAACCATCTTCTGTTTTACTGTTACAATAGGTAAAGGGGTCCCGCTCAGGTTTGTCTTGGGGAAGAGCAAAATGATCCTTGGCTTTGCTGAAGGCTTTCCAACAATGCTGATGGGTGAAATTGCGATGGTATTTCTATACAGCTAGTTTAAACCAGTGGGTCAAAAGAACAACAACATTCTAACAATGAGCCATTACTCTTCTTTTGGGTGTAACAATTAAAAATGTACAGGTCGTACTACGCAAATATTTATCATTCTCTCATAGTATCTTTTCGCAGTTCAAAATGAAGCCTCAGATACACTATGCAGAGGAGGATTGTCCAGTTACAGCTCCTGACGGCTTTCCAAAAGATGATGAACTTCAATTTGAGATTGAGATGTTGGATTTCTTCAAAGCCAAAGTTAGTCTTGTTGAATAATGGCTTCAGTGTGACTTAAATCCTTAAATTGCTGTATATTTGAGAGCTATTCTGTGCAAGCTGTTAGGACAAATTCTCATGAGCTTTGATTTCATTTTTAATAATTTCTTTCTGGTACAGTATGGATTCTAGAATATTAGCCAAATGTTTGACTAGAACCTTGTGTCCAAGATAGCAGACGCTTACTACATCTTTTTTTTTTTCGGACACGCAGGAGATCACTTACTACATCTATCACCATGTGTTATAAAGTGTTTCATATTTCACTTCATAACCCAAACAATACTTGTGGTTTCTGATTCTTTAGCATCTATGCTGTTGTTCAGGAATATATCTCCTCAAGTACAGCACCACTATAATGCATATATCATAAGAAAATGTTTGACAACAATATTGATTTATTTCATCTTTATGTTCGTGAATAATATTCATCTGGCATCGTGCCTGCTTGTTGTGATGTATCTCAGATTATACCATAAGTTTGAAGCCTAAAATTCAAAAAAGCAAAATGTATCTTTGCATAAAAAAGTGGCAGATCAACCCAATACTGCATATACACATGTTCTTAGAATGCAGCCATTCCACAAAGGATCTTTTTAAGTGAAGGGCTGAAGGGGCCACAGATTCACACTGTACATCATACCAACACCAACCATAAACTCCTTTCAAGTAGTAAAAGGATTCCTAATGCATCTACCTTGAAAGTTGAGTACTGCAATCCAAACATGCATTTTAGTTGTTTAAGCATTATATTAGTTGGTTTGTTTAAGTTTCATTTGCCAAGTTGATGCCTTACACATTTTTCTCCCCTGCTGTCTCCTGTTAGTCCTCATTTTGATGGGCCTCAGTCCTAGCTATCCATGTGTATAAACTAGGACATTGAATTAAAACAACAGTCCATACACGTGGATGTGCCAGGATTTTGGCTTATCCAAATGAGGCCTTAGGTGATCCCATGATTGGCATTTACTGTAACCTTCCCCTTCTCACTGCATTTTACTAATGAGCAACATGAAATGCTTTCTTCTCTATTCTGCTGCATTTTACTAACCCTTCTCGTTTTCTCTGTCAGATTGTGGCTGAGGACTTAGGGGTTGTAAAGAAGGTAAACAGCCGTCCTGTATTGATTTCTGCATTCATGTTCACTTCTATGCTGTAGAATTTTGAAAATTCTGAATTTTCCTTAAGATGTAAGTCTTTACTATGGTGCTATCTTTCAGATAGCCCTGGTACTCTACAAAGTTAGTACCACAGATAGTTTCATACACTTTTGCCGACTTGTAGTGCACATTCACATGGGTCTCAAATAAATATAAAAAGAATGTCATAGTAATTCACATCGGATCAAAATAACCACCTGTATATACACATGGCTGATCTAGGAACAGTCCTTCACACAATGACCTATTAATGACACATGCATATATCTATCGACAAAAGTTATGCCAATGTGAAGGGATGGCTTCATTGCACACTGTCACAACCTCCAATTTCTTTTTTTTTAAGGTGTGGAGATCTTTTGAAATGTTACCAATGCTATTTAACTCCAGTGTAGATCTTTTTGTGGATTTTGAAATTAGTCAAGTAATTGAGATTCATTCTGGTATGTGGAGGACTATTCACTGTTATTTCTATCTAACAGATAATTGATGAAGGCAAGGGGTGGGAAACACCGAGGGAGCCATATGAAGTGACAGCACGGTAAATTACCTTTTAAATCAACTGGCGAATTTGAATGGGATAGTTATATTTGATTACAGAAACATATAATCATAATTTGAATAGAAAGGAAATGGAAAGGTTGATGCCGAGTTGTAACTTGCAATTTCACATTTGTTCAGTATCTCTTGCACAAGTCAGTAGTGAAGAAAAATACATGCTTGTTTTAAGATCTCATGAGTAAATTACCATTTTCTCAGACAATTTTCTGATGTGACATGCAAATGGAAATATCTGATGCTTTCTTGTAGGCATGCCATGCTTCTTGTACTTCCACTGCTTTGTTGTATTTCTTTACTGTTAGAATTGTTAATATATCTAACTATCTAAGCTACTCCCTCCGTTTCACAATGTAAGTCATTTTAGCATTTCCCACATTCATATTGATGTTAATGAATCTAGACATATATATCTATCTAGATTCATTAACATCAATATGAATGTGGGAAATGCTAGAATGACTTATATTGTGAAACGGAGGAAGTACGATGATACAAATTATTGCCTTTTTTTGTTTTCAAGATTAACTTAACTAGGAATTTTTTGTCTGTCATTTCCAGGATAACTGCAAGAACAGGAGATGGCAAAGAACTTCTTCCCAGTAAAGAAGAACCCTATTTCTTTACTATTGGTAAATCTGAGGTCAGTGAAATTCTTTTTGCACTTACATGTAATGTACTAGGGACATAAAGGTGTAGTATATTATGTACATTATGAAATTCTTCTGTTGTCAAAAATGCTCATCTGAGGTCAGCAATGTCGTTTTTGCACATATAGATATATTATTGTGCCCTTATTAAGTTAAACATTTCTTGATTCAAACTTAGAGAAATATTCTTTTTATGGTTTATGTTGTTTTTTTAGTAGTTATTTTTTGGGAGAATAGCTAATATGGTCCCTAAAGTTTCGCTCATGGGTCATTTTAGTCCTTAATCTTTCATATTGTCCAAACAAGTCCTTTAAATTTGTCATGTGGGCTAATATAGTCCTTGGTCCCACCAAAATCGCCACATGGACATGCCATGTCACCTTCCTATGCAAAATCTATATGATTTGTCCAATTTACCCTTACGCATAGGAAAATAAAAAACAAAAGGAAAAAGTTAAAAAAATATATGGTATATGTAAGAGCAAACATATACCTCAAAAGGGTGAAAAAAGAAGTATTTTTTTTCCTATGGTTATGTCTAATTCACCCTTATATTTATTTTTCTATGATATACGTAAGGGTAAATTGGACAATTCATCATAGATTTTGCATGAATGATGACATGGCATATCCATATGATGATTTTGGTGGACCCAAGGACTATTCTAGGCCTTATGACAAAGGTTAAGGATTTCATTGGACCATTTAAAAGGTTAGGGACTAAACTGATCCCACAGAGAAACTTTAGGGACTAAAGTAGCTATTCTCCCTTATTTTTTTTCCTAACTTCTGTTTGTCCTGCAATATTCTTTTTACTGTTTTAGTTTAGGTACCTAAAGGGCTTGAAATGGGAATTGGGTCAATGGCACGTGAGGAAAAAGCAATTATTTATGTTACAAGTGCCTATTTGACAAACTCTTCACTAATTCCGCAACTTGAAGGTATTGAAGAAGTTCAATTTGAAGTTGAACTGGTTCAGTTTGTTCAGGTATAGTCATAACAAGCTATTTTGTGCTTATGTTCATTATCTACTTATAAAATCTGTTAGGGGCTTTCTGTGGCATGGATGGTGATTCTATACTTCATTGATGCACAGAACAACACACTTATACTCTTAATGTTGATGGTGGAGTCATTGTGGCTATACTTTCTGTTGTCGCCATATTTTATACAGCATTGTTCTAAGTCATGAACTCATGAAATCATGATCCCTAGAGCTGCACATTTTCCTCTGAAGTATTCAGGTAGCCTAGCCAGTTGTATATAAAGGACATTAACTACATAGCACTTCTATCAAGCCATTGCGCTGTATATGTGCTTAAAGGTTCGATTAATTGGGCTAACTGCTGACCACTAAACTCCAAGAAACTGCCATCTCGTATTTTTACAATGCTTATCTGGATGTTTTCTCTTGGCAGCTAATTCATATTTTTGGAATGGTAAACAATATTTCAGTTGATAACAATTATCACTTCTCCACTGCAAAATAAGAGTGTCTTATTCTTTTTATTCGGAGCCACATTAACAGATTGTGTGATATACTGATAGGTGAGGGATATGCTTGGCGATGGCCGCCTCATAAAACGGCGTGTAGTTGATGGAAAAGGTATGATTGCATGTTTATACTGATTTATGGATTTTTTTTCCCTTGGGTTGAAACTTTTCACATGTTCCTGGTATGCACCTTGATATTATAACAAAATTTATCTTTCATAAAAATTAACTAGAAATCTTGTGGTCTTTCCCATCCATTCAACTACTGACTAGTGATTACTGAAACATGTTGACTTCTTATCATTTGGGTCCTTGTGATACTTGTGTTTGCTACAAGTTTACTTTTAGTTCTTTAATTATTTACCAGGAACAGATTTTCTACCTTTTACTTTTATTAGCAGAAAAGATATTGAGTACATAATTAAATGATAAAAAAAGGAGCAAATAATAATAGCAAAAAGTTTCTACACAGTGAATAACTACCCTGTTGTTACTTTAAGAGCATTTTTCTATTGCCTTCTCTGCATCGTGTCATCATCATGAAAATGGAATGACCTTAGACTTAGAGTCAGATGCTCTCTTTATCCAACTTATAGTGGTAAAAAGAGTTGCAAAATTTAGATGAAGGGAAGAACTCAGAGGTGTGAATTACACAAAATGATTCATCATTTATTCAGCTATTTTTATTTCAAAACTACAAATCTTCAACAAGCCAACCTTTCACATGGAATTGTTGTGGGCGTGATGAGGTACATGTTTTGATTCCATCATGTGATGTGCTTGATGTTTATACCTCTTTTCGTTCCTTGAAAATATCAGGTGAATTTCCTATGGACTGTCCTCTTCATGATAGCTTGCTAAGAGTGCATTATAAAGGGATGCTCCTTGATGAACCAAAGTCAATATTTTATGATACCCGAGTTGATAATCATGGTGAACCATTGGAGTTCTGTTCTGGAGAAGGCCTGGTAAACTTTCACTTAAATCTTTATTGCTGCAATTATTAACTGCATCAGTTCTTCATGTCAGGTCATAAACTGACAAGTAGGAGGTGCTGGTTGTTATTTCTGGACTAGCATTCTCCTAAAATCTGTTCCCATTTCTTATAAAGTTAAAGCTTCCTGGTGAATCTGCATTACAAAAATGAGGACTTAAATAAACTTAAAGAACGATGAACAAGTATGCATTCACCTTTAAATATTGTACATGATAATAATGGCAACTCCCAGTAGGGTTTCAGGTGACAGTTCTATATACTTATTGCCCTCTCTGTACAGACATTTTTCCTCTGAGAAAAGGGTGGAAAAATGACTTTGCTAGCATTCTACAGCTATATATGCACCTCATTACATATATCTTGGTGTTCATGTATACTTCTCATACTTCCAATTAAATAAGAGTACCTTTGAACATTTTCATAGGTACCTGAAGGATTTGAAATGTGCGTTCGACTAATGCTTCCTGGTGAAAAATCTATTGTGACCTGCCCTCCAGATTTTGCATACGATAAATTTCCAAGGTTGTATGTGGCTTTACATTAGAATCTTTTTTCTTGTAATATAGCGTGCTGAATAATCTAATGATTGCAACAGGCCAGCGAATGTTCCTGAAGGAGCTCATGTTCAATGGGAAATTGAATTACTTGGATTTGAAATGCCCAAGGTAGTGACTAAAAAACAGTCACAAACCTTTTTGTATTTCCATGTTGCTTGTGCAGTGTTAGAAACTAGAATGTTTGTGATGCTATTCCTGCTCTCTATTGCGGGGAACACTTGGGATTACAAGTAGCTGTTAATTTCAACCCGCAATCGGATCGGTTTGAAAGTTGTCCTGGTTCTTGTGAGTCTGTAGCTGTGTCCCGTGATCCTTTATTGCTTCTAGCTTTTCAGCGAACTTGCATTATGTTTTCATGTATTGAATAGCAGAAGAAAGTAATAAGCATTACATGTCATTCTGAATATTTCACTAGATGAACACCTTGTCTTGTGTGGTTCAACACTATTTCAGCTATGGCTTCTTTATGATTATATTATATCTTTTCCCTTTCGTTTTTTTATTAAGTTCTGTCTGACAAATCTTCTGACTTCTCATATAATACAAATGTAGGATTGGACTGGTTTCACCTTCCAAGAAATCATGGATGACGCAGAAAAAATAAAAACCACGGTATATCGATTGAGATTGTTGAGTGAATCATTACATTTTGTTTTGTTTTTGGTGTTTTTTCCACTTAGTATCTCCCTGAACCTATCATGAATGCATTTTTCCAGAAATGCAGTGCACTTCAAGAAACTGTTGAGATGTCTTTAATTGAAAAACATAAAACTACTTTTATTTGTGTTCTATGTGTGCAAGCTGTGTTTCTCAATTGTCAAGATGGCCAATTGTTTAGTATGATCATATGAAAATCCTGGAGTTCCCATAATGCCATCATCTAGGTCTAATTTTGTGGTGATGTCCAATTCCACCTTGTGGACCACTGCAAAATTGTGATCATAGGCCCCTTTTGAAACAAAGGAAAAACCATTGGAGTTTTAGAGAATTTTATCCTATGGGAAATAATCCTATGGAGCCCTTTGAAACAAAGGATTGTTTCCTACCCATTCCTTTGAAATTCCTATGGAATGAGGTCTAACCTCATGTTTTCCTCTTCATGTGTCTAGAATTCCTGCGTTTTTCAGGTGTGCTAATCAAATGACAGTTTTAAAACTTTCATGTGTTTCAAAATCCTGTAGGAATCCAATAAGTATGACATTGTATTCCTATGTTTTTCCTATTACTGTGTTTTCTCAATCCTGCGTTTCAAAGGGGCCCTAAATATCTATACCTGTTGTCCACTTGGCTGGTTTTGATGTGTCTTTTTTCACTAATAATTAGCTCTAAACTGAAGTTCTCTCTCAGGGTAATCGACTGTTTAAAGAAGGGAAGTTTGAGCTAGCTAAGGCGAAGTATGAAAAGGTATGCCCTTCACATGATTCAGCATTCAATATTAAGGGCAATCTCGGAACATTTTTTTTCTTCTCCATTGCTATGTTGGTCTGGATATTATCTCTTTCCCGCTATTGTTACCACTCCATATGGTTACCAATTTGGCAGTCTATACTATGAATGATTTTACCTTATAATTTCTTGTACATGTAAAGGGCATAAATTTACACGTATCCATGACTTCATTCTGTCAATTTTTTGGGTGCACACGTTTTTCTTTTATTTATTTTTGTGCAAGGATATGGGTGAGATGTTTTCAAACCTTCTCTGCCTGCAGGTGCTTAGAGAGTACAACCATGTGCATCCTCAAGATGATGATGAGGGGAAAATCTTTGCTAATTCAAGAGTATGACAGCACTATTTTCAATCTTTTTTTCCCTAACAATAGCATAGATGCCTGATTAGAACATTTCTTTGAAACATGTACCTCTGATTAGCACTGCAATTCAACAATTGTTTCTGCTTTCTGAAGCATGTGTTTACCTTTCATTTTTGTTTTTCTTTTACACATGCAGAGTTCTCTACATCTAAATGTAGCTGCTTGCTACCAGAAGATGGGTGAGTATAGAAAATCTATTGACACATGTAACAAGGTATGTTTCCAAAAAGAACTTTGTACTCTCAAAGAATTTTCCTAGGGTGTCTATATCAAAGAGGGTGGTGCATGCTTGTATGGGGGCTGTCATTGGACCTCTTCCGCACATGCCACTGGATGAGCCTTGTAATGGATAGATCTGGGGATCCAATCATCCATCCAAGGGGAAGATAGATGTAAACTTTTGCTTACCACTCTTGGATCAAAATTTCGAGGAGGGACATCACATTTTTAGTTTCTCCTAGTCTGATCTGCTGAAGTTCACGCAATAACCTCGTGAAATCTTGATGATAGATAGTACTCACATATGAGTTTGCACAAGGCAACCATATAACCATGAATGTGCTGGCTGGCTTGTTTTGTACACATTATGGTACTTGGCATTGATATCATTGTGAAGTGAGCAATTATTCCATTTACTCTTTGAGCAGGTGCTAGAAGCAAACCCTGTGCATGTGAAGGCTCTTTATCGCCGAGGTATGTCCTACATGTTATTGGGGGACTTTGATGATGCAAAGAAGGATTTTGAGAAGGTGTGTTTCCCCCATACTTTAGTACCTGCTTATTTTCTTTTTTTATGTGTCATGGATGATTGTTTGACCTCTACCTAAAGCACTATGTCACTACATCTTTTTTAGATGATAGCTGTCGACAAGTCCTCAGAGCCTGATGCTACAGCTGCCCTTAATAAACTTAAACAAACAATTCAGGTATGCAACATTACATCATAAGGTGAGACCCTTCAGAACTGTTGAACTAACAGGAGTTGTATATATATATATAATTTCTAAAACAGGAAACTGAAAAGAAAGCGAGGAAGCAGTTCAAAGGGCTGTTCGACAAGAAGCCAGGCGAGATTTCCGAAGTAGGTGTAGGAGAGCCAGAGGGCAACAAGACTGACACGACAGGCTCAGGCGAGGCAGCGTCAACTGCTGACAGAGACACGGATGCAAAGGAGGCTATTCCCCGTGCAGATTCAGGGTTGGCCTTCGAGGAAGAGAGGCCCGGACTTCTCGCCCGCATCTGGCCTTCAGCGAGTCGGATCTTCTCCTCGCTTGGGCTCAACAGGTGCACAATCCTCTGATGCACCACCAGTATTCAAACCACTACAAACAGCAGCCAGAAAAGTCGCCCAGCAAAGCCCTGGAACGCATTACACACGCAAAATTATCACCTTGGATATATATCTCTAAAAATTATACTCCATTACATGGTGTAGGCTGATGACCTATAAATGAGGTAGGCGTAGTAGTAACGAGTTAGTTAAGGACATACGGAGTATTACTGTGGAAATGCATTTGTGCCTGCCATGATAAGAATCACTACCACTGCCACCTGATAGAGTGTTGATGATGTGGTGTGGGCCCCCTGATCCTGAGCGTGCGTAGTGTAGGTGTAGTAGGTAAGAATGAGACTGGCTTAACCGGGTGTCTCTTCCATGGCTGTGGCTGCCGCTGGTTCTTCTGGTCTTCTAGAACGGTGCCACCCGTTTGTCGGCCAACGCGTAGCAGAGGCCATACTTATGTGACATGATTGAATTGCCATTACCTAACACCTCTGATAATGATGTTTCCCATAAAAATTAAACCTAGAACCGGATATTACACATCCTAATATAACGAATCTAAATAAACTCGGACTAGATGTAATATATTATAGTATAATTAATGTGGACAATTACATCTAGTTCTAAATTTATTTTCTATGAGACGGAGAGAGTCACATCTGATTTTAGATTTTTTTTTTTTTTTTGGAACGGAGGGTGTACATAGATTCAAGGTGGTAGGCGTGTCTACAGTGGACGTGCAGGTAAAAGCATATGCTAATGCGGCTTGGCCTGCTGCTGCTGGGATTCCGGTAGATTTGCTTGTTTCATCGCCATATTCAGCCCATATCTCCTTGTTGGTGTTGGTGATGGCTATTAGTAACAACGTGACCTTTTAACAAAATATTTCTTGTTCTCATATCAATCTCTCTACTATTTGAGGAACTTGCTTGGGGCCTTTGAGACCATGTTCAATTAATCCCTGTGAGGGGGCCTTTGAGACCATGTTCATGTTCGATTAATCCCTATGAGGAAGGATTAAAGGGAATTTAGTCCAGAGTTATTGTGGTGTGAAATTATTTCTCTCTCAATCCCCTCAAATCTTTTTCAATCACTCTTTATACCGAATATGAGGCATAAACAAGGACTTAGGGTTATGTATCCCTCATCCCTTCTAGAAACTCCAGGCCGATATGATGAAGCACTGCAAACAGATACTTTTTCTTTTAGGGACTGGCTATATGTCTGTTGATAGAAAATCCCACCTCCCATCTTTCAAATTTTTGACCGTCAGATATGCTTTAAGATTCGTGCAGATGTATTAACCCTAACTCTCCTCCCGTTCCCCTCCCCTCGCTCATTCCACCGCCGCCACTCCCTCCGATCGCGCATTCCACCGCTATCGCCCGATCCTCCACCGCCACTGACCCATCGCACCGCCGCCCGCCTCGTCGGCTGGCCGAAAGGCGTCAACAGCGCCAGCAAGGTCCCCCCCCCCAGCCGGCCCCCTCCCCGCCCCCCTTCCCCTTCCTCTCCTCTTCTTTCCTCAAGCGGATGGCGGCGGGGCGCCACTACCGCCACCTCCTCCCAAGTCCTAACACACCCTTTTGCTTTGCCCCATAGGGTCCTCTGCCGGAGTCTAGGGTGTTAGTCAATGGATCAATTTAATATAGCTTAGCTGACTGATATTAAAGCCAATCTCCAAGCATCAAAGTGCCTAATCCCGTACGAATATATATATCATGGTCCAGCTATTTTATATTTTAGTTAACCAGTTTGTTGTAACCACCAAGCATATTAAGATACGCTGATCGACATGGATATATATGTAAGTTCCCATTGCAGTATAATTTACAACAAATGCTGTAGTATCACTGTCTGAAGGCGCCCATATATAGGGTCCAAATTAAAGATGAACTCACTACCTTGGGGTCCACTGTCATGCAGAAATAGTGAGATATGAACACTTTTTACCATGTAAACCTTGGATTTACCAATCGGTGGCATGTTGAAGCTACTACATTTTACTCCAACTTACAAAGCAATATGCGCAAGTAATTACGGCCTTAGATCTGGTTGTGCAGCTTTTGAAGTTTGCATGTCTTATTTTAAAGCAAGTAAAAAAATGTTATAACCTTCAATTTGATCTTATCTTATTGATGCAAATTGATCCCACGTTATATGAAACTTTTTCTCGAAAAGAAGAGTATTGATGCCAACGCTGTCGTCTTCTATATCAAAGATAACTTTCTCCAAATTAACGGCAGATAATTTTCAACAAGTGCGACATCTCGGCAGGACTTCAGTACCACTCCTTTTGGTTTTTTTTTAGTGTGGGTTGGTGTTCTTGGCTAAGTGTGCTTTATGCACAAGTTGGATGATTCAATGAAATGTAAATCTCAACTGGATTTGACACTGGGCCTGTGTTAGTGGAAAAACTGTCTGATCATGACTCATGAGACCTACAGTACACACCTAAAAAAGAAGATAAATATTGTTTGCAAGGGTGATCTTTCAAAGGAAAAAAAGAAGGAAAAATGAAAGGATGAATTGATACCGAAATAACCATGAAATTGGACCATGATATCGTCCCAGATAATAACGTCATTCCAGCCAACCTCTACTGATCCCCTGCATATGCATATCGATCGATTGATCGACTACTCAATCTGTCAACTATCAAATAATTTAAAACCTGATTAAAAACTACTAGATGTGCCTTTCACTGTTGATTAGCAAATCAAATCGTGCCAACATAATCCCAGTTGTCATGTCCGTGGGATTCGATCCATGGCTGGGCTTATGCTCATTTTCAAATAGATTATTGTGCGAATTGTGCTGTGGATTATCTAAGTTGATTACTAAAATAAGTTAAATATTTTGATAAATAAACGTAATAAATTATTACTTAAAACAAATGGTCTGAATAACTAACACAATTGAGAGAAAGATTTATTTTTTTAAGGGTGGAGCCATACAATGAGTTTATTTTTCTAAGGGTGGAGTAAATAATCTATTTTAACAATATAAATAATGATGAAAAAAACTAAGCCTAGTGGTTAAGCTCAACAAACCAAGACAGGGACACACTGTCGTCCATGGATGGACGTACTACTGTTTATACTTAGTAGGAGTATGTAGTACTAGTACAATATGCTGTGTAGATTTGCCCATCGTTCTCCTTCACCTAACCCCGTGAAACCGTCACAAGGGTCGTACAACCAATTTCACGCAAGTCCACTGTGACTAGTTTTCTATGTTATCACTAGATCCAATTGACAATCCTATGATTAATTCGAGTTCACTTAACTTATGTTAAATGGAAAAAAAAAGCGTCTCATTTCCATTGCCTCTTTGAAAATCTATGGGCCATGAACCGCCGAACGGCAATCTACTTATTCCTAGGACTATGTTATGTTTGGAGAGCTCATGGGTAGCTATAACTATTCATATAATCTTCAATTTTCTCAAACAGTTTAGTTTTTTTTTTTACATACTTCAAATCTCAGTAGGTACAAAATCCAAAAAGAAATTTAGTAGTTATAAGCTGAAAAACCCAGGTTCTTTAAATCTTTATTAGATATTTCCTGCAATCTTCAGCTTCCCAAACCAAGCCATAAAAATATTTGTTTGTGTAATTTTAACCACAATAATTGTTCAGGACTATGTTTTAGGCTTATAGAAATAGTATAGGCCAGGTGTATCATAATTTGTAAAAGTATTATAATATTATATTTGTTTAAACTTTTCTTTTTTATTTGAAAGGACTTATCCAATCAAAGTCACCCTTTGTTGAAACTTTGAAACATCCAAGACCAAGGGAAGCACAAGTGTTGTGTTGGTGGAGTAGCTCCATTTTCACAGGAATTTAAATCCTGATATCCACAAATATTACCTAGCACGGTATCAATATGAATTTAGTGATGTCATATATAGATTTGTAATCGACTTTCGTTGCTGAGTGTGTGAATGTGGTGTGTGTATGCATTTTCTATGTAATAAAAAAAAGCAATTGGAAACCATATCCTTTTATATCAGAAGGGGTACATGTTGTCGAAGAAGAAGAAAAAGAAGAAAGATACATGCTTTTTTCCAAGGATAATTAAGGTGACTTTTGCTACTTTCCGTTGTTTTTAAGACACGTTGAATTTAGATCATGCTTTGATAGTGGACGTGATGAGTAAACGCTGAGGGAAGGCAGTACGGCTGCAATGAAGCATAGTATTTAGTACAACCCCACTGCTCCAACAAAAACAGTTTAAATATAATTAAATAACATGGCACATAGGATAAACGATGCTTCGTCTGTGTCAAGTTAGTTAAATGAGAAATTATGAGGAAACTCTAGGTCTTACATGCATGAGACTTGGTCATTTATACAATATTCAAGACTACTTGAATATGTAATGTGAAATGAATGGTATTAAATTAGCATATATATTGAATTAAAGTTTGTGTATTTCAGAGTTTAGTATACTTGTACTAATTAATTTCTAGACAGGTGGCGTGAAGGGATATGAAAACTGCCGCGCCGGTAGCATATCTTGCACTACAGCACCTTTAAGAGCATCTTGAACGGTCTCTCCAAATCCCACTCTCCAAATATCTACTTAGCTAACTCTTTATTTAATTTGGCAAGTTAAATTCGTTGTTTATTCCAACAGCTTTTCTATTCATCATCTCTATTCTGAGTCTATGATAGTGGGACCCACCTGTCAGCCTCTATACCACTTTCTTCCTCGTTATCCTGCTCCCCCTCTTCCCCAAGCCCTTTTTTTCTTGCGGCAGTGGTGGCCGTGCGCCGCGACGGTGGGGTGGCGGTCTTTGTGCGCGGGCCAGCGGTCTTCATGCCCGACGACGACGGGGCGGTAGTGGCCGGGCGCGGCAACGACGGGGCGGCGATGCGGCGACGACGGGGCGGCGGTGGCCGTGCGCGGCGACGACGGGGCGGCGCCGCCCTCGCTACTCCTCATCTGACTCCAGCGATGGAGGCCACAGGTGCGTGCCTTGTGGAGAGAGAGGGGGAAACAGGCGTGGGTCTCACAGATGGCTAGCCGACTTTGGCTGGCCAAGGTTGGCTAGCGAGGGAGGCAATTTGGCTAGCTGGACTTGGCCATTCGAATAGCAAGTCTGTTGGAGTATAATTAATTTTAGCCTAAAATTGCTAAAATTTAGTTTGGAGAGTGGGATAGCAAGACTCTTGAGATGCTCTAAGGCCTTGATCCTCGCATCTGCACACACTAGTGCGGAACAACTCATCTGTGTCGGCGAGAGGCT